TTTTATAAAAAAGACCTACTGCAGCTTTAAGAAGTTTGTAGAAACAGTACAGAAACATTTTCACATCGTAATGATTTTAAGTTTTTCAGTGAAAAAAAAAGATTATTCCTACATTAATTGTGAATCATATTGCAATCATAGTATCTGTCAAAATAAAAGCAATATGATGTTTTTACCATATCATGCAGTCCTTTTTTGCCTTACCTAAGTACTGTAGGCTACAGCTGCTTACTGAATGTGTCAGATACATTTATTTAACATTCCATATTTTTCTGCTGCTCAGATAATTTTCATTTTGGAGCTACAGGTTGTGAACATTAATGAGGCTGCCACTAAAAACTGCAGAGTTTCTGTCTTCTCAGCCAACAAAAGGTGATTAGACATGTTTGAGGTGTAGTTATTTTAGCCTTTAGTTACTTGTGAAAGGTAATAAGATGGGGGAGGACAAGGGCTGTGGACCACAGACTACAGAGAAGATTGTAACATGATTGACTGCAGCATTGCTCTGCAAGATGGTCAGTGCTAAGTAGATATAAGATGAAATCCCCACAGGAAGTCCAGGAGGAGAAGGAGGATAGAGCTGTGGAGGGAAATAAGTGAGTTTGTCCAAGGCTGACGTGGGAGGAGAAGAGGGCCAGAGAGAGAGAGCTGTGGAGAAGAAGATGGATAGAGAGTGGAAGAGAGAGCCGGATTTGTGAAGGAGAATGGAGGTATAAATATTGCATGGCAGGATTTACTACTTGGCAAAAGCAAGGGCTTTCCTCCCCCTCCTCCTTCCCCATACGTGCACTCCCATGACACACTCTACAAGGCTGCGCACACACACACACACACACACACACACACACACACACACACACAGTGCGGTTGTACTTAGCCTAGTGCAGTACTGTGTAACGGGTGTAACGGTATCCCTGTTTAACCCTGAAGAGGAAGACGGGGGGAGAAGATGCAGTCGTTGCTGATATGGAGAAGTGGGTGATGACACATGCGCAGTGAGAACGCTCCTCTATCTGCTCAGTGTTTGTTGTGATAAGAGGTTCAACATTGCATTGTCCTATTCAGGGCTGCTGGAAGGTCCAATGACGCTTAAATCTCATCAGTTAAAGCCCCCCTCCAGTCAGAAATCAGTGCTTCTTCTTGTTCCTACAGCGCGCTGTGTGAATGATGCATGTGCAGAGTTTGACACTAGAAGGATATTTTCACATTCATCTTCTGAAAGTGGAAAGTTTCTCTGTGCTCATCGTAGAGCTGATTTTAAGGTAGGGCCTTCCAGCATGATTTGTGACATCACAAATAGTTTGGAAGTCAGTCCTGGCAATAGTAAACATACAATAGAGAAGATAAGACACATTCACATTAATTTCAGAGTTTCCTCAGGGATTAATTTCACCAGTGGAGGAAAGGTTTCTGTTGTACCCCCACTGTACTGGTAGCAGAGGATTTTTTAAACTGTTGTTTTTTACTTTAATAAAGGATCGGATCCTTCTTCCACTCACAGCCTAACTGTGTGTTACCGGCTGAGCCTTCCCCTTTAAGGAAGGTGGGCTTGTGGGTATCCTGTGCCGGTTTGTGGTAAGGAGTGAGTCTTTCCCGGGGTGTGTCACAAGGTGGTAATGTCAGGTTGCACAGGCTGTGTGTTGTTTTTGCTGTTTATGTAACGTAAACATTCCTATGGTGTTGGTCCAGACTGTGGACAGATAGTTATCTATCTAGCAGATACCAATCAGATTAAAGACATTAAAATAGTCTAAATTGGAGGTAAAATGTTTCGGAGCTGCAGAGCTGGAAGCCACAGGCAATCAGATGATTGATCATGTCTTCTCTTGTGATTTTATCAGTAGATAAACAATGACGTTTAGCTGCTAGCCAACTAGCTTCTCACAATGAAGCACTTATATCATCATTGTGTCATTGTGCTAGGATAGTTTGGTTTTACAACAGAAACACTGTACAGAGTTTTCGTTTAGTTTATGCTTGAAATGATTCCAAACTCTAGACACTTCCTTTCTCTGGTCGGTCAACACATAATTGTTCATTTTTAAGCCTTTATTGCTCACCATTGATGCAATGCTTCATATTTGAAAAGGCTTTAAGCTCCAATTGGACTTAAGGTATTTTTGTTTCATTTAATGAAATGAAACTGGAGGATAGCTTAGTGGTTAGTAGGGCTGCACAATTAATTTAAATATTATCAAAATCGCTATATGACCAAGTGCAATGTGCAAATTGCAGAAGCTATAATTTTTTGATAAAACTAAAATGTGTGACAGACTAACTTTATAACAAAGTACTGTAGCTCTGCAGATATGCCCCAGGTTATACATCTTGTTCTCCAGATGTAAGAAAACATGTTTGTTTGGTACAGACCCCAACAAATCTCACATTATGACTTTTTTCAGTGAAAATGAACATATATATTGCAATTGCAATATCTGTCAGAATTATTGCAATATGAGTTTTTTACCATACCGTGCAGCCTTAGTGGTTAGTGCTGTGTGCTCACAGCAAGGAGGTCCTGGGATTGAATGCACAGAGAGCTAGAATGGATGGATGGAAATCTACCATCGACCATGCCTTGATGTCTAAGGGAACATTTGGAGCCTACGGCTTTAATGAGACCTTAATTGAGCTTTTAAAATGTATTGCCTTAAACCAGTGAGCTCCATGGTGGGGTATGCAATGGCTGTATAGTTAAACAGTCCTAATAGATAAACTACAAAGATGAAGCCAAGACACCAAACTGAAAAAGAAAAACAATGACACCAGCAACAGTCACAAGCTAAAGAGAGAAGCTTCCCCATGAGGACCATGACGTAGTTAACAACATTACACCAGGAGCCATGGCACCGCAGGGTGTCACAAGTGTTGTTGATCAATGATCAGAACACTGTTACCTCAACAGGTGGGGAGATGTCAGGTTCTCTTAACAAGCAGGCCGGTTCGTCCTCTGTGTTTCTGTCTGTGAAAATACCAGCTGTGGAAATCACTAAGTATTCAAGCACTGTACTTCAACAGTTACTAGTAACTGTGTCGATAATGATTTTACATACAAAACATAAGTAAAGACTATTAGTTCACTGTTGTAATCGTTATAACTGCACCCTAACAGCTGCAACATTAAGATGCTCTGTGTATGTTGATGTATTGTATATAAATGATATAAGCCGACTGTTGCGTTGCTTGTGTCCTGACCAAAAAGTGACACTATGTTTTGCGCCTGCAGGAGAGGTAATAACCCTCCATAGCAGCAGCTGGTGGTAGTATGCATTCGTCATTCAAAAATGAACACTGGAAGACCTAAGACTGTGGATATAAACAGCCAAATGGATGTAGGTTTGCGGTCTTGTAAAGCATTTCTCTTTCTCGTGCACTGATTCGCTTAAGCTGATGGCCGATGAGTGCTCATGTTGCAGAAAACACGGGAAAACTTAGCGCTACATATGCTTACCGTCAGTCCACCAACCATTGGCCCAATGTGTCAGGGCCTTTAGTGTGACATGAATATAAAGAAGAATATAGCACATAAAATACAAAAAACTGCAGCAATTACAAAATACAAATAATAATTATTAGTATGTATTTGTATTTATTAGTAGTAGTAGTCTTCATAGTGAAACAGAGAGAGCAGAGGGGAAGGGCAGAGGGGAAGGAGAAAAGGAATATATGGAGATAAGGATATAAGGAAGATAACAGAGAGTGAGGTAGCAGAGAAATAGAAAAGAGGAGAGGAAAAAAGATAATAGTGAAAACAAAGAACATGAGCACAAAAGAAGAAGTGCATGCAGGGAGAAGGAGGAGAAGAAGGATGGAGCGATGGGTGATCTGTAGTGAATAAACTAGAGCAGGTCACTCTGGGAGAGCAGCACTCTTTAGTATGCTGCTCCACACTCCCTCAAACACACACAAAGCGAGTGTGACTCCTATATTCAGTAGTATCTTCCAGTATAATGAGCTTTCTCCCCAAATAATTCACACATAGAAATTCAATAGCTTGTGAGCTGACACTCACACATGCCACTTGCCAGTGGTAAAGCTGGTGCTGTCTCCATGGTTACACAACATTCAGTGTCCAGTCACAAAAGAGCAATGCTGAGTTGTGGGCTAACCAGAAACTTGAGTACACTGCACTGAAAATATACTGTACACCTGTCCCCTTAAAGCTGCAGTAGGTAATTTTGGTTAAAATATTTTTCCTCATATCTGCTCAAACTTTCACTTCATCGTGACAGCAGTACATGAGAGGGATAATCTGTAAAAAAAAAAAAAAAAAAAACAGATCCCTCTGGCTCCTCCTAGTGCTCCTAATGGCATTTGTAAGAATCTACCGGGCCTGAATGAAAACAACCAATCAGAGTCTTGGAAGACAGTTGATTGTCCAATTTGGGACCCTGGGAATGAGACTCTTTATATCTTTCTTGGCTCTGATTGGTTGTTTTTGTTCAGGCCTGGTGGATTCTTGCAAATACCATTAAGAACACTAGGAAGAGCTCTAATCTAACAAACATGATGTCGTTTTTATCTCTTCAATATATAATCTCTCCTCTGTCATTACTTCCAAACATTGATAACCGCCCCGTTTATTGGGTTTTTGACAGTTTATGTGAACTTACTCGCCACACTAGTTTCATGGATTGTCACTTCAAAGTCGGAGACTCGTCACTGTTGACATGAGAGATACAGAAGGTGTTTGTCCGGGTTATGTGTTGCTTTCTCCTCCTTCTCTCATGCTTATCCATCAAGGCTGAAATATCAATCTCATCTATTCAGTATACACCCTCTGGCCTCACACACACACACACACACACACACACACGAGAGAGAGAGAGAGAGAGACACTGTATCCTTTACATAATAATACATTTCCCCATGTGCATATTTTTTCATCTCCAACCGCCCCTGTTTGGTCCTAATCCTCTGCTATTAAGTCTATTTGTCATGCTAAGCATTGCCATTATGACTGACTCGTGTGGGTGTGTGTGTGTGTGTGTGTACGTTAGGTTTTCTCCGCTTCATCATGCAGCACTCAATGGGAACCTGGAGCTCATCACTCTGCTGCTTGAGTCACAGGCTGCTGTCGACATCAGAGACCAGAAAGGTGAGAGGGAGATCTGCACACACGTGAACAGAAAGAAAAACATGCATACACCCACAAAAAGCTGAAGCAAATGTGCCACCCTCTTTCACAGAAATACTGATCAATAATCATACAGTATTTCTCAGTGTGTGATAGATCTGCCCTTTGTGTTCACTCTGTGCACGTGTGTGTGTTTCTGTGCGCAGGTATGCGGCCGCTGCACTACGCAGCCTGGCAGGGGAAGGCGGAGCCTATGAAGATGCTGCTGAAATCTGGTTCATCTGTCAATGGCCAATCAGATGAAGGGCAGATTCCTCTCCACCTGGCAGCGCAGCATGGCCACTACGATGTGGTGAGTGATAGCAGTTTCCCTGAAAGCAGAGCTCTAGGTGGAGGTCCGGGCAGGTTGTGCGTGTACTAATTATACAGGATTCAAACAACATATATCATAATTCATATGTAATATGAATGTATGCATCATTTAATTGTGAAATAGCGGAATTGGCTGTCACAGAAGCTGATGAAAAACGTCATTAGCAGTTGGCACCTTTAAACTGACTATTATAATTTTTTTAAGAATAACAGTGGCTAAAATGGATTATATATAATGTGAAGGTGCCGAACCCACATAGAATTATTACCCAGCTCTGCTGTTCCTTTTAGTTTTAAGCATCTTTGAACTTACTGTTTTGGTTTTCAGTTTTTTTGGTTCACACTCTAAAAAGCAACTGTAAACTACCTGCCCAGCTGCAAAAGGTAGACAAAGTTAGCGACTGGCTAAATAAAACGCATTTCCCTCCTGTCTTGTCCTTTTCCAGTGATACCTATATCACTACTAGATCACCAGCATATCTCAAGCAATACAAAAGCAGAACGAAACGCAGCTAAAGAAAATTCTACTTTTCCAGCTCAGAAAAGAAAATCTGGGGGAACTGCAGTGCTGCTGCAGGCTTGCCAAGGCAACAACAAAGAAATACAGCAGACTCACTACAGCAGCTAACGTACCCTAGAGGAGAGCAACGCTCAGCATTCACAGACTTGGAAACTGACGAACCGCTGCTTCTTATTTGATTAAATAACCATGATTTATACAGGCTAACAGACTGGGGGTGAAGCTATAATCCACAGCTGCTCCCAGTGTGCAAGGGCAAATTAATAAGAAATTACAAACACAGAGACAGACCGCAGATTAAAAAAAATTAAAAAACTGGCAGGTTTTCTTGACCTTACAGGACAACACAAACAGTCATATAATTTACGGGTAGACCTTCTATTGACACATTTAACCCTACTTTTATTAATTACTTACATGACTTTGGCCATAGCCCGTAAGTAACTGATCAAATTAAGTATTATATAATTTTACAGGAAATTCATCTTCTCACCTATTAGTCTATTAAAAGAAGCTGCCGAAAGTGTTTGTTGCACATGCAGTTAACGTCTTTTTCTAATAGTCTAGTTTTTGAGGTTCAAACTAAATTTCCTAAGATTTTTTCCAGAATATTTGGTCATTTTAATCAATTTCCAGGTTTTTCCATGATTGGAAAACTAGTCTCTAAATTACAAGGGTTTTTAAGGCTATGTGGGAACCCTGCATATTGTGGGTTTTTTAGCAAACACAAGCAAAGGTACATATTTAACATACCAACAGGCTGGCTCATCATTATGTGAAAAGGTAATCTGCCGGAGTATTAATGTATCCCCTGTTAATGTGTTTGTCTGCTCAGCGCTGCTTTTCCGAGGGCATCTGGAGTGCTTTTGATTTTTAAAAGAGCGTGACATGTTTTCTGAGCAAGCATGCGTGTTTTGTGTGATGTGTGTGTCCTTGTGACTTCATTGCACAATTATGTCTTTTTATCCTTGCTATTCCTCCTGGTCTTTGGTTTCATTCTACCAGTCCAAAGAAATGCAGGTTAGCTCTTTACTAGTTACTATTGCTATCCCTCATGCTTTCCATTCTCACACAGCACGTGTGCAGTTAACAATGATAACAGTGACAGATTAACCACAAACTATTCTTCCACTTAGTGGATGTGTTGAATGGGTCTTTTATAATTTATAATCACCTAATTTATTAGTTAATGGTAGCCTCCATAACAAGCAAAACTAGGTTACAACTTCAGGTAGTAAGCTAATTAGCCATATGTGGTAATGATTTCATCTCGCATTTGTCATAGAGTTGCAATCATGTGACCTGAGAATGAAACTTTCATCATATGTCAACACGTGACAAGTACTGAACTTAAAAGTCCAGTGTGTAACATTGAGTTAGTAATCCGTCTCTATTGGCACAAATGTGGCAGAAACATACCTATGGAATATAATATTCATAGTTTTCATTAGTGTATAATCACCTGAATATAAGAATCATTGTGATTTTTTTAATCTTAGAATGAGCTGTTTATATCTAAAGACGCCGCGGGTCGCCATGTTTCTACAGTAGCCCAGAACGGACAAACCAAACACTGGCTCTAGATAGAGCCTTTTGCGTTTGTTGTGGCCACCGTAGTTTCCCCTTCTCGCTTGGAAGACAGTGTAGCGATGGAGTTGCGATTTGCAACTACACCACCCGATGCCACTAAATCGTAAACACTGGACCTTAGCAAATTACAAGCAAATGAGTACAGCTTAGCTTTCAAAACATGTAGGAGAAACTATATAGGCCGCGAAAATCTTCAGCTAGTATATGGTTTGTCCATTCTGGGCTACTGTAGAACCACGGCAGTTAAACTTGGGAGACTCCTTCTGCAGAGGAGAGTAACGATAACAAAACTGACCTTTCTGACATCAAATTGGGGGGGGGGGTCTTTGTCCAACCATTTCTGTAACTCTCTGCAACAGATTCTACATCACTAACTATTTCTGTCACTTTACATATAAACAGTTGAGAGGGTCTGAAAACGTGTGCCATAAAGGCATAAAGCTCATATTTATATGAGAGATTGCACTGAGTTACAGAAGTGAGAGGAGCCTGGACATGACGTCATGACTTTGGCTTTCTTTCATTGTGCCAAGAAGCGGTTATTAAGCTATGGACAACCACTGTATGGAGGCGGGGTTAATGGTTAATTGGTGACTCTAAATAGCCTGTAGGTGTGTGTAGGTGTTATTTGTCTTTATGTGTGATAGATAACCTGCCGACCTCTCCAGGGTGTTCCCTTGCCTCAATGACAGTTTTTTTCTCATGTGTCCCTGTGTGTTTGCTTGCATGTGTGTTTCCTGTCTCCAGTCGGAGATGCTGCTGCAGCACCAGTCCAACCCGTGTATTGTGGATAATGCAGGGAAAACCCCTCTGGACCTGGCCTGTGAGTTTGGCAGAGTTGGGGTAAGGACCTGTAGTTTTAGTCATTAATCAAAAACAGCTGCAAGTGTAGACAGTCTACAAAAATGAGTGTGGTGTGTGTGTGTGTGTGTGTGTGTGTGTGTGTGTGTGTGTGTGTGTGTGTGTGTGTGTGTGTGTGTGTGTGTGTGTGTGTATGTCTGTGTTTAGGTGGTCCAGTTGTTGCTGTCCAGTAACATGTGTGCCGCGTTGCTGGAGGCCAAAAAAGGAGACACCACCGACCCCAACGGGACGTCTCCTCTCCACCTGGCTGCCAAGAACGGACACATAGACATCATCAGGTACACACACACACACACACACACACACACACACACACTCTCTCTTTCTCTCTTACACACAAACCATTTTTAATGATTCAGTGGCTCTAAATATCCTCCTGAGCTTGCTGAGAAAACAGATATATAACACAACAGGGGAACAATATGATCTAATTAACTAAAGGAATAATGGAACAAACATGTTGCCATACAGTGAGAGTTAATGCATATGCATAACAGCCGCAGGTAACTGTGGGACATGTCCCCACTGATATACAAAAGAAGGAACCCCCCCCCAAAAAAAGTCCATACAGTGTTTTAATTGTTTATTAGCAGAAAAACAAGTAACAAGATAAGGTGGAAGTTGGACAATTGCAGTAGTAGAACGTTATTAATAACTTACCCCCAAATTCCACCGGGCACAGCCGCGACGTGCCTCTGCTGCGGTCGTTGGAGCGGAAAAATATTTTTCAGTGACGATTACAAGTGAAATTCAAAAATGTGAAATTCAAACAAAATAATCACATAACTATAGGAAGCTTTAGTAAAACTAGAATGTACAAATATTAAAAGTAAGGCTACTCGTTATTATAAACCTGCTGTAGGACTTTAATTAATGAGGTTTTTATTTGATATGATCTCTAAAGTTAACCTGCAGCAAAAACAAAACTTGCTCATACACAGACTGTGTGGACATTTGGACATTTGGATACAAACAGGAGCTAGTACAGGTACAGCCTACCAGATGAGCCACATATTTTAATGTGCTGATGCCCCCCACCGTTGGCCCTTGAGATGATGCATCAGACAGCTCCTGTACACGTACTGAAGAGTGGAAACATTGCAGATCTGCATGTCATATAACTGTCATTATAACCTCATCTCGACGATCTTTAATTTTGGTTTATGTTTTTGCAAGAGAGCATCATGGCAAAGTGACTTTTGTTTGTTGCTGTGGCGATGTCAGCATTCAGCACAAGGCTTCAGGATGAAAGATCGCAGCAGAATGATGTGCCACGGCAAATAAACACACACCACAAAGTCTATTTTTCCTCTCATCACTCTCAACTACTTTTAAGTAACTCAGGGCTATATATGTGTGTGTGTGTGTATGCGTGTGTGTGTGTGTGTGTGTGTCGGTGCAGAGGGCTGCATGTCTGGCAGACTCAGACAGAGGCGAAGGGAGGGACAGAGACACTGAAAGATTAGAGAAGACTGTAACTGAGGGAAGATAAGAGAGAGAGAGGGATAGAAAAATAAAGAGAGAGAGAGAACAAAGCCTGCCATAGTTGATAGAGCAGAGCCTGCCTCTCTGGAAGTGACACTGATAAATGACGCTCATTAGGCATGGCCAGCAGTCTGTGGAAGCCACACACTGGCATAAACACTCACACATACAAAGTCTAGTTCAGTAGAAGTTAGAGCAGCTTTTTGCTCAATGAACTACAGTGTGTCTCTTGCCCTAACGTCCTTTTCTCTGGTCATAATCTATACTTAACATAAAAAGACCAACAACAACAATGACTTTATCCCACAATCAAGTATGGCCAGAGTAGCCACATACTGTCATTTATTACACTCGAGTAGCGTTTCTCAATGGGGGCGGTATTGCCCACCAGGGGGCATTCAGAGGACATGTCTGAAGCAATATTAGGAAAGGGGGGCATTGAGGTGTTCTTTCTTGGTATTACCCATGGAGGTGTTTCTTTGTCTTAATAGCATTTAATTCTTTCAAGGATACACCGTGAACGCAGTGTTGTCGTCGTGGTTACATGCTGCATAAAATGTGAATATGTCTTCTCATGTACATTGACAACCTGAGGATGATAAGGGTCAACGTGAAAATCTGGTTTAAAGACCTCCTGAACCTTGATGTTCCCATCTGGGTGGTTCAGCCCTTTCAAGCGGACATGGCCGAGTACAAGCCCATCTTGTTGGCACCCAAAGCAACAACAAGGCCCAGGCTACTTCCCGCCCCTCTGGCTGGGGCAGTATGTGGGTCAAATATGCGCAGTGTTACCCGCTGTCAGGGAAAAGACGAGGCTGCTTCTAGTTGAGCAGTAATTCATACAGGTCTTCAACACCAAGCTTTTGTCTTTCAGTATAGTAATATATCCTAATAATTGGTATCTGTATCAGCCATGAAAAAAACAGTCAAACTGGAATTGGCTGCTTATGTTTTCTCCTGCACTTCAAAACATCCACGTAATGCTTGATTTTTATTCACCCAAAGCATCAACTATCAACTACTAAATCAACTATCATGGCGGAATTGTTTACTGAACCTTTAACGCTGACGTAACAGCCCTGAAAATGTCCTTGGAAAAACTGGATAAAAAAATGAAAAGAGAAGCGGGGATTGTTGTTTGTAGAGACAACATTAACAAAGTTGAAAAGAGGCATAGTTATTTTCTTCTTTTCAGTAAAAGGAAAAAAATCTAGCAAAGAAATCTCCTCTGCAAACCTTTTCCGTAGCCTGAAGCATCTCTCACACACTTTTTTGTTTCTTTAGTCAGACGGTGGAACTAGTATGAAATGTGATCATAAATAGAGTGTTGACCAGCAGCCATTACCTAGCTGATTATTTTATCATGGTGGGCAGAAAAGTAACCAATTTTAAACTCAGTTTGTGACACAATAGTTGTAATGTAACCAGTGGTCTGATTGAGATCAAGATCTTTTTTTCAAGACAGCCCTTAGTTTTAGTCCTACATACACAGTCTTGGTGCTGTAAACACTACCTTACCTATCCCCTTTCTATATCACCTACTCATCTCATTCAACTCCTCCTCCCTCTACATCTGCTTCTTTGACACCCGTCTCGACTTTTTCACCCTTCTCACCTCTTCATTCTCTCTCCTTCCAATACTGTTTTCTACTGTTTTTATCACTTACTACACTTCCAAAACTTCCTTCCCTTACTGGCTTTACCTTTTCCTCTGCCCTCTGCTGCCAGACTGCTGATCCAGGCAGGCATCGACATCAACAGACAGACCAAAGCCGGCACTGCCCTGCACGAAGCTGCCCTGTGTGGAAAGACCGAGGCAGTGAGACTCCTGCTGGACGTAAGTGGAACATTACTGAAAACTTCACTTAAGGCATTGGTTACCAACCTTTTTATTTTTAGGGACCCCTTTTATATCACAGAGTAAACTGGCAACCCCTGATTTAGTTTTATATTTTTTGGATATTTCATATTATATTCAATGCATAACATTAACAGTACAGATAAACTGTACAATGAACCCAGATTAATTAACAATTCTATCTACTCAAATAAAGGGAACGAAGCCTGCGAGCTAGTTCAGGCTGTTGCCCTGCATCTGTATTGCTGCTGCTGCTGCTCTATAAGCTATTGCTGCCTGCTGCACTGTAAGCCCCACCACCACCCCAGCATCCACCTGTAGGCTCCGGCTAGGGGTTTAAGGTATTTGCTCATCACTCCCCAATATCTCTATGTAAACATATCTGCGGGGAGTGATGAGGTCGGAGCCTAGACACCAACATCTAAATATGCTCTACTGCTTAATAAACATTTCCAACGTGAGTTGATTTACTGAACTGAATGAAATGCTGAGATATAGGCCTACTCTATATCTTTGTTACACCCCTTAAAATCAAGAAGGACACCCAACCCCCCATTAAGCTTTGACAACCCCAGTTGGGGTCCCTAGCCCCAGGTTGGGTACCACTGACTTCAGGGACAGCTACAATCCATTGTTTTAACTTTCCAACACCAGGTGTATGAGCACTTTAAGGCCAAGGCCTCCCTTGAATTTTAACGGCTGTCTCCACTCTATAAAATATCATAGCTGTGACAGTAATACTTACAGAAGGTGACATAAAAAGTATTTCCATAAAACATAATTTGTCTGTGATGAATGACTAGACTGCTGAAGATGTTTTCCATATCAAAAAGAATAGAAGGTTGCAACCTAATGATAAAATGAAGTGTCATGATCTCAAGGAACCCTTTCAGTATACATGGGTTAACCAGTAAAAAGAAGAAAACTACTCCAATAAAATACTAGTAAACTTGTATTTATGCTACTTTATACTTTATACTTCAAGAGGAAATTGTTGTACTTTTGTACTACATTGTACTATTGTTTTTAATTTTTAATTACATTTATAAAAAATAATAATAACTTTATTCATATAGCACCTTTTAAAAATAGAGTTTACAAAGTGCTTTGACAGACAAAACAAAATGATAGCTGTGGAACACAAAATGTTATTAAATATAAAAGTAAAATGAAAAGAATACGAAAATACAATAATCGAAGCCATAAAAATAAAATGAAAATAGATTTTGAAGGATAGTAGGAGACATCTTGTGTCCAGCAGGAACACTTGAGAAATTAACTAAATTTGCATATTCATAGCTTCCGGATTTTCTGCAGAAGTAGATTTTAAGTATTTTAAGTTTAAGTAATTGAACTCTTGTGAAAAAAAACACATCAGATACAAATGTTTGTACAAAAGCAGAGTCTTTATATGTGTCTTTAAGATATCTTACCATCACACAAAATTGGTTGCAGGCAAACTGTCCAACTGGACATAAACTTTACAAACAAACAAACTTTAAAAGTCTACAGTACAAGCATATGGAAATGCATATGCATATGACTTATTTCTATGACTACATTTGTGCCTATAAGATGTAATCCAGGTCATTGAAAGTCCCAGTTTGCCTTAAAATATAAATTAAAATAAAAAATTCCTTCATAAAAATATGTTTTGATGACTCGTACCGTATTTGCAGTCAGTCTTACCATTATGAAAATATTCTGAAATAAGGTTCTTTGGGAAATATTAGATGCATTAAATGCAGTGGGGGTCTGAGGCCTTTGCTTATTTATGAAACGGTTTGGAAAATCCCTACGTCCCCATGTGATAAAACTGAGGCAGTTATGAGAAAAAGTGCTAAATTACAATTTCAAGAGAGATGATGCAAATTACCCATTTGTGCTGGTGACATTAAAAAGCTGCAGGGCTTTATGAGAACAAGAGAGGCAATATGTTTTAATGACTGCGTGAGCTGCAGCATGAAAAACTAACTCTGTCATGTAGACGCCCGGCTGTGAAAGGTTATAAGTCTTTGTCCTGAAGCGGTCTGAATTCATCTTTGTTCTTCGGCCTACATTGGACTCAACAGATCTGAATGTGATACTGCTCTCAAGCTTTTGGCTGTCTGAAATAAGAGGTGGTTGTAAATAGTAGATGAGTTACAGGAAGGAGCATGCATGGGTTATTTTCTGTTGACGACATGATGGTAAATTATTACTCCCCTCAGGTGTTTAAGATCCTCAGAATCCTTTCTGATTTATCACTTCATGTCTGAAAAAAAAACCATTAAATATATTGAATCCATCTTCTCTCTTCTACAGAGTGGCATCAATGCCACAGTGAGAAACACCTACAGCCAGACTGCACTGGACATCGTCTACCAGTTCACTGCAACACAAGCCAGCAGAGAGATCAAACAACTGCTAAGGGGTAGGATGGATGGATGGATGGATGGATGGATAGAGTAGTAAAGCCAGGAAAGAAGCATAAAAGAGTGAAGTCAGTTTATTTCTATAAATGAGATCAGAAATGGATGAAAGGTAGCAAGATCTAGAATCAGAAACTCTGAAGCTCACAAACAACGGTTTGTATCTTGTTGTAATTTGAACAAGAGTAAACAGTAAAACTGACATGTTGGCTCATTTTCCACCAAATTTGTTCTGGTTCTTGAACTGGTTCTGTCAAGATTTTTGGAAACTTAGTGTAACCTTGCAAACCAGCCTGTGCTTCTACCAGTTTGAAGTCGAACAAATTGAGTTTTGATCAAAATGCTCTGAATGGTTCATAGGTCGTATACACGACCTGTATAATATGACACTCCCACTTTGGTTCCCAAGGAAAACATGCTATTTTGGGAACCAACTTTTCAGGTTTCCGAACCAGTTTAGTTTTGATCTAAATGCTCAGAATGGTTCAAAACTAGGTGCTTGAACCAGAACGGAGCTAGTTCCCTATTGGTGGAAAAGGCACGGTTGTAGTTTTTTTCCAGACTTCATTCTACGCTAATCTAACCTCTCAATCTACTGTAACTCTTGGCAAGAAATCAAATAAAATTATCTCTCAAAAAAATGTCCCACATGTTACACTATCCCTTTAAGTGAACACAGAATACACTGTAACAGTAACATATGTACAGAGATACCACAATGAGGTAATGGTGTTATGTTGAAGAGTTTTGAAAGGTGATCATTAAGCATTCCCAATAACTGGAACTATTATATAGTATATAAGTATAGGCATGATAATGTGAATGGTCTGCTGTAATGTACAGTATGATTTATTGTCTCTCAGATGCATCAGCGGCCCTTCAGGTTCGGGCTCTGAAGGATTACTGCAACAACTACGACCTGACAAGCCTCAACATCAAAGCAGGAGACGTCATTACGGTAACAAACACACACACACACGCACACACACAGACAGACACACACACAGAATGTCCATTCTCAATGTCAACAACAGCAAAAAAGATGCATATACTGATCATTTCTGACATCAAAGCTGAAAGGAGGAGATTAGGGGTCACAATATCATTACTGCGTTAAAAAATAATAAAAAACTACATTTGCTACACATTATTATGGTTGTTCTCTATTTAATATGTATGTGACATATTTGCAAATCTCAGTCACAGCAGTAGCTTACGATGGCACAGCATCGGAAACAATTTTAGGGTTCGCTATTTTGCTTAATAAAAAAATGCAGCAGGAGGAGCCGGGGATTAAACCGCCAAACTTCTGAGCCAAGCTGACCCTGCGAAGCACTCAGCTCTCTCAAATCATTTGTCGTCAATTTTCTTACATATTCACTGAGATTACTAATGAATGTGCAAGAATGAGTAGTTTTTACTAAGAATATTTTTTACAGAAGCTTGTATTCACTTGCTACATTTTAGTCCAACCCCACTCATTTTTCAGTAACTTTTAGAAAAGCTAAAAATAGCTCTAAATATTATTAAACCAGTTAACCCAGTTTGTTCGGGTGGGGGGTGGGGGGGGGATTTACACAAACACAGTTCCATAAAATGTTCATATAAATTACATAAAAATAAATATATATTTTTTTATGTGTTTGTGAAACTTGACAGGTTTTGGAGCAGCACCCTGACGGACGCTGGAAAGGCTGTATCCATGACAACCGAACAGGAAATGACCGTGTGGGCTACTTCCCTTCCACCATGGTAGAGGTCATCAGCAAGCGCACAGGTGTGTGTCCTCTCCTATGTGTGTGTATGTGAATGTGTTGGAGTAGTTATTACAATATCAAGCCAAGTGTTCTGGGAATATATTATACATATTTGGAAGAAGATAGAAAAAGAAGAAGAAGATGAAGAAGAAAAGTGAAGCTAAGTCACTGAATGTTCTAGCCTTTCTCACAAACCCTTGAGGTCACCTAACCTTACCACCTCATTAGTTAACTTTCCTTGGATGAATAGAGGTTAGAATGAAGCTCACGCATTTGGAAAGAAGACCTCTGTGAGTCGGCCAGCAGCAGCACAGTGGTACCAATCACCCAATCCAAACTTGTGAAGCATTTTAGTAGCACTTCCACCAGTGTTTAGGAGTTCAGCCTGATGAAGAAAGTACCTGTTGAGTAATGAGAATATAGACACTAAAATCATCCATATGTCCCTGGTTAATAATGTGTTTCAGTTCCCTTAGCTGACATGATGAATGACAGTAATTTGATATTTTGGAAAATCATTCCAGGGGTGGATCTAGAGGGGTGGCATAGGCATTTGACACCAAACCAGGCCAGGCATTTTTAAAAAACACAAATCATCGTTATCATTAATTTAATGGGAATTTATGGGAACATTAGGCTTAAATTCAATGAAAAAGGATTTGGAATAATAATAATAATATTTGGAAGAATGTCTGAAGATTTGGAAACAATTGACCGATTTATAATGCAATATATTTCTATTTAATGCTTTATTAATGTGCCACAGTAATGTTTGTGAGTTCAAATCTCTTCATTTGGAAGCCAGGCAAATATTCATATATGTGATTGTTTGTGATTAAATCAGCATATATTTCTGTCACCCCTTAAAGTCTCCATGCCACCCCATGAACATTTCTCTAGATCCGCCCCTGGCTCATTCATTATCCTGCCTAGAATTAGATAAGACAATTAATACCACTCTCACATTCAGTGCCTCACTCACTATCACATTTATATTGAGTAAAATATTAAAAGGATAATTAATGACATGATGATGATAATTTAACTGTACTAGACTAGAATTTAAAAGTATAAATATGTGGATTAGAAAGACCAAGTGGCAAAGAGCCTATGAGGTTTAAGAAGTTTAACCTGTAATGTTAATTCAATGTAGCTAAGTAGCTAGCTTTACTTTTGGAAACACTTCTAAAGTGTAACAAAATACCTGTCAGCTAGTTCATTACAAACCTATGATACTAAAAACAATGTCAAAATAGTTGAACATTTTGTGAAATATGCTTATTTGCTGTCTTTCGGACATTTAGATAAGAAGAGCAGCCAGTTAGCATAACTTAGCACAGAGACTTAAAACAGCTAGCCTCTCCAAATGTAACAAAATCCACCAACAAGCCCCTATGAAGCTCACTAATTAACATCTCGTTTGGTCAATCTGTACAAAAACTGACCCTTATAGTGACGGCGCTGAAAATTAGCTGTAGCTTTTAGGGCTGTGTATTGGCATGAATCAGCAATATGATATGTATCACAATACGAGGTCACCATTCAATATATTGCGATAGCCTGTGATTGTTGATATGATATTGTGATTGTTTTTCTTTTAACCTAATTTAAGAAAATGGTCGTAATCCCTGTAACATCCAACATCTTAGTACTTAATAGTAGTAGTTTTTGTTAAAACGCTGCTATCTGACTGTTGGTGGTTTAAACCATTGACTGTATATATAATGGACAGAGCTTCTGGGTCTAAAAAGTGTAGCCAACCTGAAGTGTCTTAAACCTGCATTCTATGGAGATCCAGCAGGTGGCAGCGCCGTTGGCTGCAATAACACACTGACCCCATTCACTTGAATTGAGAACTGGAGGCTGCAAAACGGTACTCCACAAATCAATGGGTGATGTCACGATAGGTTTACACTTGGTTTAAACTCAGAAATCGATAGTGTTTTTGAGAATCGATTTTTTTTTTCTTACACCTCAAGAAGCTATAAATGCTTTGATACATTGCATTTATAACTGTAATGCAATATTCTATGTAAACTGTAGAAATAAAAATAAAATAAATGTGCGGCTAGCTTACCAGTTTTGCTTGATCTAGAAATTAGCATTATTAGGCTCAACCATGTGTTGCAGCTCCAGACAGATTAGTTTTTTTGGCTCTTTTGATAGCAAATGTTGCTGACCCCTGACAAAGCGGTTGGAAGCTAATTCTAGATAATGAGTGATCTCAATCTCTTTATCTAACGTGGCAAGAAAGTTAACAAACTAACAATGAGCTGTGTGCTAATCAAGATCTGCCAGGGTCATTTTAGTGTCATATCTGTGTTCATGACTGAACAGCAAGCTGACCAGCTAATGTGTCAATCTCCCGAAACTCTACAGATCACATTCACATCCATCCCGTCATCCCAAAGTATCATTGCGCAGTCACAAAGAGGATCAGATGTTTTTAACTGTCTATTGGTGTCTGTCTGTAGGTCTGGTATCTCTGTTTGTCCATCCGTCTGTCTCTCTGTTGTATTATGTCTACTTAGTCTAAGTCTGTATATCTGTCTCTCTTTTACATTCTGCTTTCATCCCTGTGATCACTAAATTCTCACTCACCTCTGTCTTTCACATTATGTCTCCTTTTCGGGTCATCGTTCTCTTCTTTGATATTTACTGTATAGTCTATTTACCACTATGGAACCTGCTCCAGTAAAGGAACATGCCATTGTGGCCGTGTCTGTCCTCACATACAGTACATTATAGAGCAAGAGCTGTATAGTATAAAGTATAAAACAGCTGGAGCACCCCCACTCAGCTTACACAGCTATACTGTTGAATAACTGCCAGGGCACAGCCACACACACACACACACACACACACACACACACACACTTGGGGCTATGGCAGATGTTTTAGCAAGAGGTTTCATTTACTCAACAGTTTTTCATCAATTTTTAATTATTATTTTATCCCACCACTTCTCCCCAGTCCCTTCTACATATACCCTACCTCTCATTTGCTCCTTCTCTTTCCTCTTACACTGTGCTACATTTTTTACATTTCCTACAGTCAGTTAAGTAAATTGATCTTAATGTTGCAGCAATCATCACAATCCAAAAATCTGATTCCGACAAAGGGTGGGAAACTACCAGTTAATGTTACTTAACCGGACGTGTAACATTTAGGAGGACCTACTGGCAGAAATGGAATATAATATTCGTAGCCATGTTTTCATTACTGTATAATCAGCCGAATATAGGAATCATTGTGTTTTCGTGACCTTACAATGAGCTGTTTTTATCTACAGACCCAGTGGGTCGCCTTCCAAGGAGTCCGCCATGTTGACCCGCCACGTTTCTACAGTAGCTCTGAACGGACATACCAAACACTGGCTCTAGATAGGGACATTCATGTTTTTCGCACGCTTCATCTTTATGCAGAATTGTGTCTATATGCTAGTAGGCTCTAGTAAGACAAAGATTTGACTGATTTTGTTGGCGCAGCTCCACTTCCAGCAAAGTACTAATGGAACACAGCTGAACAAAAAATGTGCAATGTCATTATCCGCGGGCAATGGTAGGTTTTGCTATCATGAAACATAAATGTCTTTGAAAGCACAAAAACTATAAAGTACTACCAACACGTTGGACAGTTCTTTAGATTCTGTGGCAAAGAGCATGGCTGGAGCTGAATGAAGCAAGGTTACTGAAAACAACTGCTGTCATTTAAAGTGGTTGCGCCCTTAATTATGCATAATTGAATACTAGCCTTAATATGATTTAAACAGGTGAGTTCTATATATCATATTCGCCCGCCATACAGTAGTCAAGAACGGGAAAATTAGCTATAGAGACATCTGACGAGTTAGGGGCCGTTCAGATGTTGCATCTAAAAATGATGAAGAACACCCGCCGCATCCTCTTACCCAAGGCACTAAGGAGGTTGCACTACTGTCATTACTAAGCAACCAAAACCTGAGGCCTGCATGATGATAATGATGGAGTAGTAATTTAACAAGTAACAAATCAGAAGTCAAAACATCCATCCGTTCTTTTTACCTCTCTATATATTTCATTTCAACGATGCCCACATTTGTGTTTGTCTCCTTCTCTTCGTCCTCCTGCCTTCATCATCAGCATCACCCACTTTGATTTCTTTGTTTAATTTTGTAACTTCAGCCTTTGTTTTTAATTTTCTTTTCTCCCCCCTTTTTCTTACATGTAATTCTCTGTTTTGTCGTTTGTTTGTTACGTGGCGGTGGTTCACTGTTGGCTGGTTGTGTGTGTGTCGGTGTGTCGTCACGGTGGGTGTTATCTAGGTTTGGCCAGCACAGTCATTTGCACTCAACAGTTTCAAAAGATACCGCTGGTTCCTCCGGCAACGGTTGCCCCTGCCAACGCGGTAGTCAACGGCAACGACACCACGTTCCATCAGATCCATATCCTGCCTCCACCGCCTCCTCCTCCACCACATTCCCATCAGCCACTGCTTCCACTTTTTACTTCCTTTGGCTATAACAAGTCGCCCGTGACAACCCCACAGGGAGACACACCCACTGCCCCAGGTACACGCCCCCTTTTTCATTATTATTATTATTATTATTATTATTATTATTAAAGCTTCAAAAGATGCTTTCCTCTGGTGTTGTTCAAATATCTCCCAGTATAAAAATTATATTTCTGATTGGTTATGTAAGATTCTTATTGGTGTTCTAAATGTTGTTCTAAGAAGGCATCCATTGAAGTTTTCTGTTATGGATCATTATTTATGTAATTTTCTGTAATTGTGTTGCTCATACTGTATAACTTTTTTGTTTTTGTTTTTCTGCTGTCGTCATTTTCATTACTGAGAGTCAGCTTTTAGACAGCAAGCCATAAGCAAAGCCACACACGAAGAAAGATTGCAAATGAGGAATTTACACTTGTCATTTGAAGTGTATTGTATTTTCCAATAGTTTATTAATATTAATTAGTATACTTTAATTTACACTTAGCCACATCTTTTTTGATTGCATCCATTTCGGTTTTCCTGGGCTACATGCAAATCAGGCCAGTCAAGATGCTGGTATTAATATGTGTCAGTATGCCCGTTTTACTAGAACACTGCCAACAATTTCTATCACCGTCATTACCATAACTATTGTCTTTTGAATTAGGAGAAATAAGTGAATTAAGATAACTGTTTATTATAACATATGATGTGTGATGATTAAGTCTTTCTTACAGAAAGTCTTTAGTGCTTAGACTCTACAGGGAGATTTTTGGGATCGAGGGGGGTCTGCCCTGAGCAGCAGCAAAATACCCCCCCTCCCACATTGAGTCCAGACCACTGACATAAAAGATGGATGACGTGACAGCTCCCCAAAACATCTTGGTCGCCCTCTGGCAGCTGACTGCAGTATAGGTCAAAGCCCGCTGCCTCTGTGCCACGTGAAATAAATGTTTTACACAAAGACGGTGTCTGGAATGTTAGGTAGTTCTTATCACACTGATGTATGTTCAAGTGTTCATTTTTCTTATAAGTTTGGTTTTAATTTGCTTTTTGAAGCTATAAAAAGGGCCTTTCGCGTCATGATTGGCGGCCAGGCGTATTGGCGGGACTTTGATACTGTAGGGCTACTGCGCAGACTCTGGCTCCAAGTGGCGAAAGATGGCAGTGGTCGTATCCGGGATATTTTGGCTTCATTTTCATCTTTAATATGTCAGTGGTCCAGACACTGGCGGTGGTGGCTGATGAATCTGCTGAGGCTGATGAATCTGCAAAGAGTGGCAGTGATAGGGAGGTAGAGTGGCACACGGAACAGCAGCATGAATGAACTGATGAGAACAGTTGATATTATAATTTACAGCTCCTAATAATGACAGCAATGAAATTATGTGTGAGCATGCATGAGAGGAGTAAATGCAAGTAAAAAGAGAAATTAACTACAGGCCTAACCTTTCATATTCAGAGGGCACAGCGCTCCCTTCTTTATTGGCACTTTTATTTTCATTAGCCACAAGCAAGTATATTTCTTCTGGTCAAACAGAGACAGTAGTAGCCACAGCCGGACCAGAGAGCTACTTTTGCCATGACTTGCTATGCTAAGATTAGCTTGTCGACCTGCTGTAGATCCGTAAGTTTATGGGTGCTGAGTCGTAACGTTGAATGAGGAAGCGCCAAATCACTTTGGGAGTAGTTGATTGTTGAGTCTCATTCCCAGGATCTAAATTTGACAACCTGGGAATGAGACTCAACAATCATCTATCTTTCTTGACTCTGATTAGCACTAGGAGGAGCCAAAAGGAACCCAATTTTTTCACATGTACAAACATATATATATATATATATATATATATTATATATATAGGTTTTTTTTTTTTTTTTTCATATTTACCTACTGCAGCTTTAAAGAGACAGATGCATTTACACATTTTCAACATCTGACCATCGGTGTATGAGTGTGTATGAATTATTAGTTTCCGTTCTGGTAAGCAGTTGGCACCTTACATGGCAGCCACAGCCATCAGTGTATGAATGTGTGTGAATGGGGTGAGTGTGGCATGTAGTGTACAGCGCATTGAGTGGTCGAAAAACTAGAAAGGCGCTATATAAGTACAGTCCATTTACCATTTTACCAGAGTGCATACTCTGGTCTCAAACCATCCCTCAGAGGTTGCTGGTAATCTGCCTCTTAATTTTTTTGGATTGAAATTGGAGTCTCTAATGCATCTGGGTTGCACTTACACTTGGGTTTTTTATATTTCAGATAACAATTTGATCAGCTCAAGGTGCATTGTGGCTAAGTGTAAATGAGCTATTACAGTCTGTTACCTCTCTATATAATTGACTTTGTTGGTGGCGGAGTCCGCCATTCCTACACTAGATTTCATGTATGTAATACAGCATTACAGTTTGTAATTTAAGCCTGAACCATAACTTTGGCTTTAAGACAATATGTAAATAATCATAAGTCATGCCCCTCTCATGTGGGTTTAGTCACTACTGTAGCATTTCTGTCAATACAAAAACAGCTGTGTAGGAAATGAGAAAACAAAGTTGATAAAGTAATGCTCATGTAGTGACGTGGCTTTTTTGGATGGGGTTGTAATACTGCTGCTCCCCACAGAAGAATCTTTTGTAAATTTCTTTGCTTGTAAGGAAGAACAGATGCCTGTTCACCTGAGTTGGTTTGTGCCTCAGTTAAATGTCTTGGATCCTTGTTTTTTGCAGTTCTTTCTTTGCCTTTGTTTTATCCTCTTCGTTTTTTCCTCCTCCCCCTCTATATCCCCACTGCCCCAACCACCAAGACAACCCTGCTAGTTTCTTAAACACACATACACATCATACACAACTATCTCCTGACCAGACTGTGTGTAACAACCGTGTTTTTTTGTTCTGTGTTATTGTCACGTCTGATCATTTTAACACCATTTTACCCACCTTGCACTTATACCCTCAATGTGTGTGTGAGAGTGTGTGTGGTGGTAAAGGGTGGGAATACTTAAGTAAAAATTGAATGTCTATATCAGCCTTTGGACGGATGAAAAACAACCACAATGAGTGAAATTGTCATTATTGCTTCAAGTAAAACGTTTAGACCAGCTTTTCTGACATTAACGGGTGATATTTTCTCTCTAGCTAAAAAAGATATTGTATATGGAATAACGTCAATTCTTTTGTAAGCCCTTCTTGAACACCAGGTATTAAAAAAACATGCTGAAATTATGTATTACACACAATGATTTGCAAGTTATAAAATGTCAAGTGTTATGTAAGAACACACAACACACTGTTAGAAAATGTCACCCAGGATGTTTTGCAGGTAAGGTATTCACTGAAACTGTCTATACTCTGTGAATGGGAGTCTTCACTGGACACCATTTTGTTTCCTCCAGGAGAATAAATCCCTTTTAGACAGATTTCCTGTCATACAGTAAGTCCACAAATGAAAATGCAGCACCCAAATAAATACAAATGCAATGCCTTTACTTATAACTACATCAGGTCAGAGCGTTTTCCCTAAGGCTTCATCACATTGGTTGAAAACAGTAATTTTTTTTAACTCACAAATGATTCAAGTCAAAACAAAGGCTGTTCAGAGTCTTTGAAAACAGACTGTGAGGTCACTTGGAGGGATGCAAAACGGCCACAAGAAGGAGCTGCGGCATTACATGAAAACAAATGTTACTTTTGAATGTCTGTGTTTTTCTGGAGCACTGTTGGCTTACGCATATAAACCATTCATAAACCCTCATTAAGATGGTTATAATGGTTTATCACACTCTCCAAATGCACAACAGCAGCCCCATTCTGACAAGGCTTACATATATAATCACACAACTATGGCTGCATTATATATGTATGTGTATGTACATTATGGCATATATGTGTATATACACAGCTATACATGTTATGGATTTATTTATGTACTATGGGTATATAAATGTTTTCATATATCTATATATATATGCTGTGTTTTTTCTGTGTATCTGTGTGTGAGCATGAATGCAAGAATGAAAGTGTGGTGTGTAAGGGAGTGTGAAACTTATATATCCTTTTAAAAAGGCCTCCCTTATCCGCCTTTACCCCATCACCCTGCTCTCCTACTGGCCCCTCTTAAATTATAACTTTTTCGCGGATAAGTTTGGAATTAATTTAAATTAACTTTTAAATTTTTTCTAAAACTATCAAACAGACTACAACGTCTGTAACCAGCAGAAGTAATTCATAGTGTCAGTCGCTGAAGTGAGGTAGTTTGCCGAGTGTATTTGTAAGGGACAACTACTGTATGTAGCTTTGACAGTTGCAATACTGCACATTTTAGATCATTTTAGATGCAGTGGAAGGTAAACATTGATACCACCATACTAACCTAATGTCAGATTGACATATGTGACTTAACTAATTCTTAATACGAGATATAATACTGTAAATGTTCTGTAAAATAATTTTCTTCACATCAGATACATTTTCTTTATCTTCAGAATCAGCGTTGCGTATTTAGCAGAGTTTCTGTGTAATCGGCCCCTATGTGGAATATAAGCCTTTGAGAATTATTACCAAACTCTGCAGTTCCCCCCAACTCTTGCTTTTTAGCCTCTTACAGCTCCTTGTTTTAGTTTTACGGTCTGTTTTACCGAGCATTTAAAGTGCAAACAAAGTAAGCGACCAGTTGGTGAACATAGTGAAGCATTTAGTAGCTAAAGAGTTGAAATGTTTCTCATGTAATGGCGGAGACCAAAACAGAGTTTAAAGGAGATTGAATATTGGACTTACATTAACAGATTAGGCAGAAACATGACTTCACATTAATGCTAATGTTGCACCAATAGGCAACTGGTTGTTAACACGTTAGCAATATCAACTTTTTAAGGTATTCATTTGTATTTTCAGGTGACCCAAATTTGACAAAACATAAACTATTGCTGTTTTTAATGCTTATTTTTAATAAGAAAGGAATAGCGATGCTTAAGAGACCACTTTAGGGTCGGTAAGCAGCTAACAGTGGTCTTCTGTGTTAAAGGCTGTCGTGTATCATATGCACACATATTAGCCATATCATTAGTTATATCAACTATAAAGTAATAGTAAATTTGTATTTTCAGGCTTTTCCACAGGCTCAAATTTGACAAAAACATAAATTGTTGCTGCTTTAAACATTCTTTTTTTTTTTAGCAAAAGGTTAGCAATGCTTTAGAGGCCAGTTTAGGGTCGGTTAGCGGCTAACAGTGGTGTTCTGTGTTAAAGGTTGTCGTGGCTCAGAGGCAAGTCCTCACAGCTCTCCCACCCCATCCAGCGGGCCCCATGGAGGCTCCAACGAAGAGATCTGGGTACTGCGCAAGCCCGTGGCAGGTAACTAAGCCGCGCTGCGCTGAGCCCTCAACCCCTGACTTCTTAAACTCTGACCAGGGCTCAAACAGTATCTGACATCCGTTCAAAAAAGGCTTTTCTGCCTGGTACCGCATTGCAAGTGTCCCCAAGAGCAGAATCCATCCATCCTTCTAGTTTTTGAGCTTAAAATTCTTGTTTGAAGGCTTTCAGATACTCTTTGACTTGCTCATGACGATCCCCCATGTCCTGCTTATCCCTCCATCTAAAGCTTAGCTGAGTTCAGTGGCCTTATGTGTAGGACTGCAGCCATCTGCATCGGTCTACAGTCTGTGTGTCTTTCCAACTGGATGTATGGAGATTTTGTGCGAGAGAACAAGAAAACTTAGGAAAGAGAGTGAGTAAGAGTGAGAGGAAGTGTGTGTGTGTGTAAGCAAAAGGTGTGTCTTGTTTACTCCACTTTTGTGTTTGTCGCTCAGTCGTCCGTCACCCTGTCTGTCCATCCGTCCGTCCTGTCCATCCAACCACATGCTGCCCAGTGCATTTCAATGGAGAGTCACACCTGTTACCACGTTGCTTTGGATATCAGCTAAACCACTCCGTGTGTGTGTGTGTGTCTGTGTGTGCGCGTGTGAATGTATGCATCCATCTGTTTGTTGCATGTCTGCACAAAATCTATACATATCGTTTGGGCGGTTGCATGTGTGTGTGAATGCATGTGCGTGCTTTTGTGTGTGTGTCTGTGTGTGTGCATGTTGCAGGTGGAGACCGCAGCAGTGTGGGTAGCTCTGGCAGTGTGACCAGTGTGAGGTCGTCAGGCAGCGGCCAGAGCGCCGGCAGTGCAGCACACATCCTCCATGCACAGGCTGAGGGCGTAAAGGTACAACACACACACAAACACACTATAAAATACAGCCACAAAGAAATGGCTGCAAGAGGTGCATATAAGTCGTAACTAAAGGAAGGGCTTCTGGGAAATTAAGACCTCAGAAAACCTAGACATACTGCAGAAAAAAGATGTTGAGGTTTATTTTACAGATCTGTAATTTCTTAAAAGTTTCTTGGAAAACAAGTATACAAATCAAAATATGTGCAAAATAAAGTTCCTGTTAATAAATAACTGTGATGGAAAGTACTGTACTAAAGTACCATTTTTGGTAGTACATGCTACTTTGTACTTTTACTCCACCACATTTCAGTGGTAAATATTTAACTTTTTCCCCCACTAAATTTATCTGGCAACTGCAGTTACTAATTACTTTTCAGATGAAGATTTTACATTTAAACCTATAATATGCATTATTTGCACATTAAAGCTGCAGTAGGTAACTTTTATGACAATAACTTTTTGCCATATTTGCTGAAACGCTGACTACATCCTGACAGAAGTACATGAGACAGATAATGTGTGAAAAATCTGGTTCCTCTGGCTCCTCCTAGTTCTTATGAGAACCACTGTTCAATGGAGAGCCAGAGGAACCTGGCAGATTATCTGTCTCATGTACTACTGTCTAATAATGTCTATAAACACTAGACCTATGTTCTCATTATCGGCCAATAATTATATACTTTAAATACATTTATACTTTTACTTAAAGTGGATTTTTCATTTAAGCCCTTTGCTTGTAACAGAGTATTTGTATGATAAATGCATTGGAGTGTTGGACAACTTAAATCTTAAATTCTTACAAGTTTTTCTCTTTAACATTAATTATTATTATTATAGTTCAAGTAAAAAACATTTTAACACTCGGCTTATCTGCTTCATCAGGACTGTGTGGGTGTGGTTTGATCAGATTAGACTGACTGTGGCAACATAAGAAAACTAACTTTTAAATGCGATCACAATATGATTCAAATGTTAAATCCTGATTGGTGCACAGAAGAGAAGCTCATATGAAATGATCAAAATAGTTCTAACTTTGGCAAAACATTTGTTCATGTAAGGTTCCATCACTCTTAGGAAGAAGCTGAATGAGAGAATAGGTTTTCTGGGTGTAAAGGATCTGAATAATTCTTCCACCACTGATGAATAATGAATGAATGTGTAGCTGGGTTTTAATGGACCAGTTCTTTCAAGAAAATTCCTATCTGCCCTATAATTGGTACAAAGTAACAAAGTAGTTCTTTCTGGCCAACCTCCTAGGAATAATAATTACCAAGGAAGTTCATTGGAAAGAATTATGTAATTATTAGCAAATTCAGTGCCTGAGATGGGCCAGTACTCACCAGTACCACTACTGATTGGCAAGTGTTTGTGGGTTTGGTTGGTTAGGTTTAGGCATGACAAGTGAGATGGTTAGGCTTAGAAAAAATGTCAGTGTAAGAGCCAAGGTCTAGTAAATCTAGCTTAATGCTGACAAAACAGCGCTGAAATTGGATAAAAACCACAAGAATTATGGTTAGGGTATGTTGTGATTAGGGTTAGGGGTAGGGCTGTGCTGAATTATTCAAATTGCAACCACAGAGACATTGTACTGCTTGTGTTATTAGTCTGAAGCTGTCTGTCAAGGTGGTCATTTACTCATAAAAGCACCCAGCTGCATCATACATTTTCAGCAAACATCCTGTTAAGAAACTGCTGCACTTTTTAAACCTACTTTTCCTGACAGCAAAATTAAACCCAACTGCAGCCAAGACTGACTGCTAGGCTCTGTCCTCTCTGCCTCTCACTACAGTCACTTCTCATCAAAGCTAGTCAGATTTTTATTGCTGGGCTCGCACTGGAGGCTTCAGATGCAAGGTTTAAATGTGATTAATGTGGTCAGCAGGCATCATATATTTCTTCCCAGGCAGACCTACTACCGAGATCAATCTCATCTGAGATGATGAGATTTTAGAATTGGCATTTTTTTTGTTTCTTGATGAGAAGGCAAAAAAGAATGCAGCCACTTTACTTTTTCCCTACTAAGGCCATATTCTTGTATAAAGGTATCTATGTAGGTTATTCATTTGGGACACACAGCCTGAAGATAATATATAATTTCTATGTGTGTGTAATAATAAAGCAAGACTATGTAACATTTAAAATAAAAAATAACACATTACTTTTCTAATAAATGAAAAGTTGAATTCATTAGCAATAAATCAAATCAATCCTTACGGTACTCATATTCAGGAGTTTCGCTGCTGCAGCCTTATTTGGTCTGGTATTGACCATCGACATATATAAAGATGGACAACAGGACAGCTCCCCATCAGTGAAGCCAAAACATATTGGTTGCCCCCCATTGGCTGACTGCGGTAAAGGTCATAAAGCCTGCTGCCTCCATGGTAGCAGATGGGACATGGGCCAAATGAAAAAAATCAAAGTACACGTGATGTGAAAAGATGGTTTCTGTCATTTTATGTAGTCTTTATCACACTGATGTATGTTCAAGTGTTCATTTTTCTGATAAGTTTAGTTTTAATGAATGAATGAATGAATGAATTATTTCAGCCCGGCCGACCCAGTCAGGAAAGAGATGTAAGGGAAAGATATGAAGACGCTTTGGGTTGGAGGCTTGAAGATAGTTGATTGTTGAGTCTCATTCCCAGGGTCCCAAAGCGTTTGAAGCCCTGTGAATGAGACTCAACAATCACCTATCTTTCTTGGCTCTGATTGGTTGTTTTTGTTCAGGCCCGGTTGATTCTTGCAAATACCATTAGGAGCACTAGGAGGTGCCAGAGGAACCTGATTTCTTCACAGATTATCTGTCTCATGTTCTACTGTCAGGATGTAGTGAAAGTTTCAGCAAATATGACAAAAAATATTATTATTTAAAGGAAAAAAACAAATTACCTACTACAGTTTAACATGTTAGCTACCACAACTTAAAAAGTGATCACATGTTCTGTTGTCGCTTTAATGCAACAAAGTGTAAATTGCTTCATTCCTGTAACGTGGGTGCATATGTTTTTGTGTATTTGCAGCTTCTAGCCACAGTCTTGTCCCAGTCTGCCAAAGCTAAGGAACATCTATTGGAGCAGTCCAAGTCTGTGGACCAGCCTGCAGGTAGGACAGGGCCCAGAACGGAGGGTGATCCTTCATCGACCCAGTTACTGTGTTCCACTCTAATGAGTTTACTTACAGTAGGATTTTAGACATTAATTCACAGTATCCACACTTTAAAGTGTTGTGGAACTGGTGAGAACGAGGGGAAGGAAAACTTTTTGAATAAAAATTAAAAGCAGGAAGAGAGTCAGGTTAGGTAAGAGTCATAATCCACTGGTCTTTAAAAATGTCATTGTATCACTTCTACACATACACACACTTATACACGCACAGATCTTGGCTGGTGTAACAGACAGATGGCCAAGGCAGGGGATGTAGGAGGAAGTGTAGAGTGGTGTGATTGGTTTATAAGGTTTGTTATATCTCAGAAAGCTAGAATTTGATTGGTTCTTTGTGAAGGCAATGAAAAAGAGTGTCCAGAAATCAGCTGGTGGAGAGGTCAGGTTGGAACACAAGTGAACTGTTGATTGATCGGAAGTTTACAGTGATAGGGCGACAGCTTGAAGCCAATGGTATTTCTCCCAGCAGGCTCCGCCAGCTCCTCTCGGACATCGAGCCAATCAGGCTGTCCACTCCACGAAGCGCCGCCTTACGACGCCACAGCAACCAGGAAAGGGGAAGGGCCAGGCGAGGGGAAGGTAGGACAGTCCCAAACTCCCACAAATTCAGTCCTCTCTCCCTCTTCCATACAAACATACAGACACCTCTATCAACTCCTAGCTTCAGCAAGATGAGAATGTAGCTCCTTAGTCACCTAACCACAACTTGTACAGACACAGACACACACACACAGACTATTTATATTTATTTATACACACACACACACCAAGATGTCCCAGCGGTTTCTCTCGCACCTGGCCTCGTCCGTGCTGCGAGTGTTCGGATGCAGCCATGACACGGTGAGTGTGTGAATGAAAGATCTCCGGCTTGTATGAATGTGTGAACAAGAAATCTTGTGTGCAAGTGTGTGTGAGAGAATCCTGCCCTCTCTTGTTTATCTGCTACCTGCTATCCATTGTTACTCACTCCTTTTAGTTGCAGCTTCTCTTCTTCCATTGCGGTATTTTTCTTCTTTTGCAGAGATAATTGTCTCTCAATTGATGGTTGGTAGGTGCGCCTCAGGCTAGCATAACTCTGGTTGAGATATTGGTGTGTATGTTTGTGTGTGTGTGTGTGTGCTGTGTGTTGGCAGGTGCCCAGCAGTGTGCATGTCGTGGGCGGACTAGCTCAGCAAAAGAAGTGTGAAATCTGAGCTTACCATGTACAGTAAGCTGTTATTCACTGTAAAGTGAGTGTGTGTGTGAGTGTGTTTGCATACGTGTGTGGGCCCACATTTAAGTTGACGTCTCATTGTATAATAATTTCAAGCTTGATAAACCAATGAGCATATTTAAATAGCAGGTGGTCGTGGTGGTTGTGCCTGCATCGCTTGCCTACTGTATGCATGCGTGTGTGTGTGTGTGTGCAGTCATGTAAGCCATGTTCTCACAGCCATCTGTTAGCTAGAGTCCTGATTCCTTAGCACCTATCGTCCTAATATTTCCCTCGGTGAGGTAACACGGGTGAAGGACGGGGAGGGAAAACCAATCACCTCCGAGGGACGGTGTGGAGGGTCTCGGGGAGTGATGAAGAAAAGAAGAAGAGGGAGGAGATGGGGAAAATAGAGAAAGACATGAGGGATGTTGGGCTTTAAAGAGAAACAAAGAGCATGGGAAGAAGTCATGCAGTGGTATTACAGTTAAACTGTAGCTCTGTTCCCTGCTGCATTTAGAGCAGAACATTGCAGCAAATCATCCACTATTATAACCAGGCTGTGGAGTCAGGACTGCCAAGATGGCGATGGCCAAAGCCGACCACACTGAGCTTCACAATAGACATTTAAGTTATGCTTTATACTGTAAGTGTTGCCGGACTTCTGACCTCCTTAGACTTTTTCCCCTCTTACGTAAGTGAAGTAGACAAGTAGCTGGGGAACACAACAGTGTTTAGCAGCTTAAAAGTCAGATATTTCTAATTTAATTTAAAAGTAATTTTAATTGCATTTAAAATTTTTACTAAACAACATTTTGATTTTCATCAGATTTCTTAATAATTACTTTATACTTAAATGGGTAAAAATAAAATAGCCAATTTAGTAGAGGTGGGAGTAAGTGACATGTTCAAATCACAAGCAAGTCCCAAGTCACTGTGATGAGAATCAAGCAAGTTTTTTTTCAGCTGACACAATAACTGATAATTTCATGTTTTTGTATTTTATAAAGAACACGGAGCAAAGGCATTTAAAATAGCAGAGAATATGTTACAATGGCATGACATGCCAATAGTAATAATTAGCATTAATTAGAATATATGGTATATATATGGCCACTCGGTTTAAAAGGTCATTCGGTATTTTGAAAATGTCAGAAATGGATTCAGCATCCTCAGTAACTGCCCAACATAGGTAAATGAGCATATATATATATATATATATATATATATATATATATATATATATATATATATGCTGGTAATCGTACGTGTGTTATCTGTCACAAGTCTCAAGTCGAGTCTTTCATCAATGTTAGTCAAGTCTTCAAATTTGCAACTTGAGTCTAGTCATGTGACTCGAGTCCCCCACCTCTGCTATTTAGTAACAACATCTCTGCGTTCGGAGCTAGCTTGTGTGATGCAACCCTTTTTAATTTAGAGATGTGTAAATCTCTGCTAAACACTTAAGTTTTACCGAGGCTAAATCTGAACTGAACAGCAGGTGCAACCAGCTCCAGGAAAACTAGATTCTAACATAAGAGACATATAGCAGCTATAGAATCGTCATAAAAACACACAGGAAGTACTGTGTGCGCTCAGGTTCAACCCGGTTAACAATGAACACACTTCAAGTTCATTTCTGAAGTTCCGCTACAGTCTGAGTAGTTAGAGAAGCGTAGTTAGCAATGTAGCTCTATATGGACCAACCTCTAATGAACAGGAAGACGCCATACAAGTGTGAGAATATTTTGTTTTTCTTGTGGGCAAGTGTGTGAGAATGAGTGTGTATTTTTAGAGCCCTAATACAGCGTTTTGTGGCCCTTCAGGAGGTTTTGCTTTTACTTTCCAGCTGTAAAGTGTCAATTGTAGATTAGCATGCTGTTGCTAATCTGCTACAGAGGGCAGGGCCTTTCTCCTTCCTAAACTTTAGCCGGGTTTTCACTACAGGGCCAAGCAGGGCTAACCAGGGCTAATTCATTGACTTTATCGGGAGGCAGCTGGGTTATAATGCCACTGAAACTCCATCCATATTTGCCTTTGAGGCATTAATAAAGATATACTGACAGCCAAATTGTAGCCCTTGTTTGGCCCTGCTGAGAAAAAGTGGCTGTTGAAGGAGCAGACACGGAGCCAGTGACAGCATGCCCCCTGTCTTCTCTCCCATAGAGCTCAGAGGCCGTTGTCCAATGGCTGAGCGACTTTCAGCTGCAGGTCTACGCTCCAAACTTCCTGGGCGCTGGGTATGACTTGCCCACCATTAGCCGAATGACCCCGGAGGTAAGGCAACTGAACCCTGACCCCTGAACCCCAGAAAGGTCACAGGCACCTCCAAGGACCACAGTGGAAACAAGTCTGCACAACTTCGATTTGTGCTGTCCTTGATGTTTCCAAGATGCATGTACATTGTTTCCTTTAAAAACTCCTGCTTATGAGCACAATTAAAGCACTCAATTAAACTGATCTTAGATCCTTTCCCTGCTTCCTGCCAAACCTTTCCTGAATGAGCTTTTCACCTCTCTCCCCTTGACCTGATATTGACTTGCGTCTCTCTCTGATCCTTGTTCAAAAATAATGTTCAGGTTCCAAAAATGGCACAATATAATTGGTCTACTTTAGTACTTTATAAAGTATAAATGTTTGATAGCGTAGTTTGACATTTTGGAAAACACGCCTTTTCAGTTTTTTGTCACAAGTTAGATGACACAATTGATACCACTCTCATGACTGTATGGTAAATATGAAGCTACAGCCAGCAGCTGGTTAGTTTAGCTTAGCAGAAAGACCCTTGTGTACAGTCTTTGTACTACGATAAGCTACTGGAGGTAGCTTCATATTTACTATACAGGTGAGTCTCTTTTCTAGCGTCAGTATTTGACGACCTGGGAATGAGATTCAATAATCAAGTATCTTTCTTGGCTCTGATTGGTTGTTTTCTTTCAGGCCCGGTGGATTCATGCAAATGCGATTAGGAGCTCTAGGAGGAAAAATTACCTACTGCAGCTTTAAAAAGGGGTATATTTTCAATAACGTTAGAGTGTGGATTAAAAGGTGAAATCCTTATAACTTAATTTGCTTAACATATGTAAGAAATATACTGTAAAATAACATTTACATCTTTAGTGGCTTAAAGTATACTAAACATATTTTGTTATTTACGTAAATTAAACATAATAAAGTCAAATGTTTCCATATAATGCAAAAAAAGAACCAAACCCACTGAGTAATAAAACCCATCTATGGATCTCTACCATTTTAAAGGTCCAGTAGGATTTAGTGGCATGTAGCGGTGTAGTTGCAGATTGCACCTCTCCTTCCAAGCTTGAGGAAACAGCTCTATCTACAGCCAGTGTTTTATGGAGCCAGAACAGTCTCATAATGGATAAATGCACACAGAAATGAATAAATGCACGAAAAAGGACTCACAAATGTATTTTGGGAGTTGTATATATATATGACTCGATACACAAATGCATTTTCAATGTACACACAAACATGCTTCAATCCATATATAAGTTAAAAAAAAATCACATATAAAAATAAGATTTGTAAACATATTTGTGATGCGCACTATTTCCTGTTTTAAATATGTGCAATAAAAATTCACAAACGTACAAATCGTCAGGTATTTGCAATTTTCATCAAATACATATTTGGAAGTTGTTACATTGATATATAAATTGTCAAACGCGCATTTGAGGCACTCATGTGACTGGTTGTAAAGGAGTGAGACATCTGATTGGCTGCAGACGACCCCCTTGTACAAAAAATGCATTCGTGGATCGGAGTCACATCAGGAGAGTCTCAAAAATCCACACACAAATGCAGTGAGGTTTACAAATTAAAAGCACTGAGACAAATGCACAAATACAGTCCTTTTTTCGTGCATTCATTCATTTCTGTGTGCATTTATCCATTATGAGACTGTTCTGGCTCCATAGTGTTTGGTTTGTTCTACTGTAGAAACATGGAAGGCGACCCGCTCCCTCTGTAGATAAAAACAGCTCATTCTAAGGTAACAAGAACCCAATGATTCCTACATTCAGGTGATTATACACTAATGAAAACATACCTATGAATATTATATTCCATTTCTGACAATAAATCCTCCTAAATGTCACACACTGGACCTTTAAGAGTTTTGATTATGATGATTATGATTTTGATGATCTTCATGAGCTACTTAAGTCAGGGAGCCAGAAACTGCTGCATACTGGAAAATGTTGCTCTTTGTACACTGGGTATGTTAACAGTCCTTTGTTTGCTAACATGTCAAAAAAGGAGGTTACAGTTAGTCTTTCTGCCCCCTTGTGGTAAAAAAATATTTAACACAGCTTTAAGTAACAAGGAAAACTAACCATGGAAAACAAACACTAAATAATTGAAAAAGTGACTTGTGCTACACTGTAAGATTTTTTCCACAATTCACTTCTTGTAAGGGAGATATGATGTCATCCTGGTTATCACAAGTTGGGCTTTTAAATTTTACAGGAAGCCTGTGTTAAGAAGTCGGGGGATTAAGTTTACCTTTACCAGGCAAGGAGGTCTAATGACAAATGCATTGTGGGAAATGTAGGAGCCATTGTTTTTACAGCTTGGCCCATAGTGAGGGTAGTCTTTGCTGCTTTGATTCTTTTTAAAATTTGTCTGAGTGTCCAAACTTAATGGAAATGCCATGCTATGCTAAAGTGCTGGAGTGCCTCTTTAAACTAAATATTCAAATGGCACCAGACATGTTGCTTAAAAACAGATTCTGTACCAGTCAGCACTCAGTCTGAATTACAAACTGGAAAACTAAAATAAATTAAAAACTCAAGAATGAGCTGCTCCTGACCCTCACATCACCTCTGACACTGCTGCTGTTGCCTGTTTTGAGGAAGTAGACCAATGCTCTCTACCACGCTCACCTACATACAAATAATTTATAGCACACATAAATTATTTGTATACATACGTACACTCCAGCACCGTGCATGCTGAATGGTTCAGAGCTGAGCTGACTTAAAAATAGGTTTTGTTATCAGTTATCTTTTACTGTGTGCTTGACGCATCTGCGTATAATTTATGAGTTGTGTGTAAGTTATGTTTAAGTGTGTGTGTGTGTGTGTGTGTGTGTGTGTGTGTGTGTGTGTGTGTGTAATGTGTATGCGGTGATTGTTCATGTATGTTTGTAAAAGTGTGTTCTTGTGAGTCCACCACAACTACCACTGAATACAGAGAAACAAAAGTAAACAACAGGATGATGCCCCGTATTTGTTAATTAGTCACAGTTCCAACTGAGTCTGCACACTTACCAATTATAATTTACTCAGTTTGTATTGAAGTACAAGCTTGTTTACTTATGACAGAGTACAAAGAGCTAAACAATATTATGGAGAATCTAGCTGATTCTTTCTTCGCTTCCTTTTCACTGCAGACATTTGCTCATGCTTTCCTTGCTTTTCTTATGATTTTGATACATTAACATTTCTGCTCTATTCTCCTCAACTGGCAGAAGCTTTCTTCAGATGTCATGCTGTCACTTGTTTCTTTGTGTTGCTAGTTTTCCTCTGTGTGTGTGTGTGTGTGTGTGTGTGTGTGTGTGTGTTTGTGAGAAAGAGCAAAAGAGAGGGACTGCTGGAGACTTGGGAGATTTTAATTCACTTTGTGGAGAAAAAGCCTGAACATGCCACTACTGTATCTTACTTATGCATGTTTGTTTGTGTGTGTGTGTGTGTGTGTGTGTGTGTGTGCGCGTGTGTGCGTGTGTGTGTGTGTGTAGGATCTTACAGCGATTGGAATAACCAAACCAGGTCACAGAAAGAAGATGACATCAGAGATTAACAAGCTAAGTGTCACAGAGTGGCTTCCCGAGCAGAAACCTGTGAGTAAGACTCCACACACACAACAATATCATGGTTCAGTGACCGATCAGATGCTAAGCTCGGTATTAAAATCCAAGCTACCAGCGTTGGTGCCGGTGAGCCTGGTGAGCAGCCATGTTTCTGGTGTTCCTATAGGCCAATCTAGGAGAGTGGCTGTCTGCTATTGGTCTGAGCCAGTACCACCAGGTGTTAGTGCAGAACGGATACGAGAATATCGAATTCATCACTGACATCACCTGGGAGGACCTGCAGGAAATAGGCATCACCAAATTGGGTAAGACATACACATATACTGTGTGCACATCAATACACTGACCACCATGTCAGTCTGCATGTCTGCCATCAAGATTCAGCACCATGGACAGCTATTTATGCTAGATCTTTGCTAGTTTACTGAGCCCCGGGTTGGACTATGGCTGTAGTGGAAACCGCCTACTATACTAGCAGTACCTGCTAATCTGGTCAAAGTGTAGTAAATAGTTGCAAACAAAAGCAAAATCTGCAGTCTGCCAAAATACCAGGATTTTTGTTTTTCTAAACAATGACGCTGATCTTTGATTGGCGATGACATTACATTATTGTTTGCCTTGTTGGCCATAGCTAAAAAGCAACACGGCATTCTTATTTTATGCTATTAGATTGGCAAAGCCAGTCTAATCAGAGGGACAGCTTTAACCCAAAAGGGGACGAGGACTTGACACAAGGCCAGAATACCCGGATGTGCTGCTCTCATCTATACAAAATGTTGAATTATCTCATTCTTAAAATAATGCTCGATTCTCCTATCTAATCTAATCTGGAAGCCCACAACAACCAAATAACTATTCAACTGGGACTAGGCTACGTCAGATAGGTCTCTCTGAGGTTAATGTTCTTTTTTGGGAAAAACATGAAAATCCATATTTATAACTTCTTTATGTAAGAGCATAAGATGATGCTGCACAGTAGCAGTGGTTTGCCATTAGCCTTCCTACTGTTTACTTTCCAAAACTGGAAACCGGCTAAGCCTGGCCAAGCATACTGCAAAATAAATGCATTTAATTGTTTCATATTGCGTACTACAATGCACAGCAGTATGCAGTATGTAGTACATACTATGTTCGTAGGTAATATGTTGAAGGCAGTTCCAAATACAAATGCATAATACATAATGGCAAGCATTTCTATAGAGACCGCGTCCCTGTAACAGATTAACAGATGAATGTGTTCAAAATAATCTCAGTGTGGCATAGTAGACATGTTGCATATAGAGCCCCGAAAGTGACCAAATGTAGTTCAAAGTTCAAAGTAAAAAACAGAATAAAGGTTTATCATTTACCATATTTGTTTCAGAGCTTCATAGTTGCAGCATGTTCACTTTCTATGTTGGGCGAAATTCTACATAATGATAATAATAGAAATAATAATTTTAAATATTTTTGATTAAAAAATTATATTTAAAGTAATTGGATTCCCACTAATTATCCTAATTAAGCAAGATCTGTTTGATCTCTGATTCCAATCATTCAATGTTTTAGGCCACCAGAAGAAGCTGATGCTGGCTGTTAAGCGACTGGCTGAAATGCAGCGCAGTACAGAAGGGCGGGGCTCCCTCAGAAAGAAGCCTCCGCCAATCACACAGCAGCAGGAAGTCATGTCAATGGACAGCCCCCCTCCAGACGGTGAGCTCACAGATAAAAGTCAGATAAATGACAGACTTTTAATGAGGTTTAATACAAATCTACTGGAGTGTGTGCATGCCTTATCTAATGAGATCTCTCAGGGGTCAAATCAGTCATCACCTCTAGTCTTATCTATCTCACCTCTAGATTCATATTCATTTTAAGGGTTTCTTTCTCTTTCTGCAGAGATCATGTCTCCAAAGATGAGCACCTTCCAGGACAGCGAGTTGAGCACCGAGCTGCAGAGTGCCATGACCCAGCCGGGGCAGGAGGTCAGCAAAGCTCAGCGAACACGCAGCCTGAGCAAAGACCATGATGAGGTGACAGGAGGAGGAGGAGGAGGAGGAGGAGGAGGAGGAGGAGGAGGAGGAGGGGGTGGTCCACCGAAGAAGGAAGCGCGGACTATGAGACAGCAGAGCAGCCAGGGAAGCACCTCCTCTCACAGAGGCAGTGTGTCCTCTCAAGGCAAACACCGTCACTCCCACTCACATTCCCAGCCTGCGCCTCCCTACACACCCCCTCACACCCCCACCAAGACTAGAACCTCATCTTCCTCCTCCACCTCCTCCGTCCAGAGCACAGCTTCCCCACAGGCCAAACACAAGCCGTCACCCCAGTTCATCCAGGGGGAGAGACCTCAGTCGCCGCGCTCTCACCCCCCTCAGTCTCCGACCCACCGAGGTGCCCCATGTACCCAGCCTCAGCCCCAGCAACAACAGCAGCCTCAAGTCCAGCCGCAACACCAGGCACACCCTCAGCACCATCCACAGACGCAGGTCATGGAGGTTAGGGACAGCCAACAACCACAGGTCCCGCTCCTCTGCCTCCCCCCAGAGGCTGAGCTGGCTGAGGGAGAAGGAGCAGAGCCTTCAGCACTCCAGAAGAAACGCGCCCACAGTCTCAACAGATACGCTGTGTCAGACGGGGAGTGCGACGAGAAGGCAGGTGCAGGAGGAGGGGGTGGAGGTGGAGGAGGAGAAGCAGAGGTAGTGGGAAGTCAGGGCCCTGCCGTCGTCAGAGGGGAAGGAGGTAAATACGCCACGGTGACTCACCGTGTCAGCCGCAGCCACTCTGTCCGCAACCAGGAAAAGAACGTCAACCGCAACCAGACGCAGTCATTTGCTCTCCGTCAGAAGAAAAAAGGCCCGCCCCCACCACCACCAAAACGCTCTAGCTCTGCCATCTCCAGCTCCAACTCCAACCTGATGGATGCCAACGCACAGCCGCACACACTGACCACCACAGGGGGGATGCTGGATGTGCCTTACCACCAACAGCGGCGGGCAAGTGACCTGGGGGTGTCTGTGGAAACAGGTGTTGTGGAGACGACCAGTGTGGGAAGCGTGAGGAGCATCGCTGCCATGTTGGAGATGTCTTCTATAGGAGGTGGACCCAAAGGCATGGCTCTACAGAAGAACTTCCTGCAGGTATTGTAGAAATCACTTTGTATGTAGGTCATATGATGTACAGATAGGTGACAAACTAAAGGAAAGAACAATATAAAATGTGTATTATTAAGGTCAAGAACAGCTTCAGTTTCTCAAGCGTGATGAACTATACTGGAGGTATGAACAGCCCCTAAAATCCTTTGAAGACCCACTACAACCTCCTGAAGGTTTACAAGGACCTCTTTAAGGACCTATAGAACCTCCTCAGTGGTGCTGGAACCTCTTTAATGACCAATAGATCCTCCTAAAGAACCTCTAGGATCTTCTCACTGACTACTAGAACCTTCTTACTGTCCAATAGAACTTCTTAAATAAAAAAAATTAAAAAACCCTCCTAAATTAGCACTAGACCTACGACTCTATAAACTTATAATTGACCACAACAACCTGTCATTCCCCTTTTCCACCAAGGCAGTTTGAGGGCCAATTCAAAGCCAGCGCTTAATCTCAAACCAGATCTTTGCATTTTAAGGGCCAAGAAACTAGCTCTTAGTCTTATGTCAGGGACTGGGGGCACCAGCAGCCAGCAATGTATTTAGTAGCTGTTTAGCGTGTTACTTATTTTTTACATCAATGTTACAAAGTAATATTGAGCTAGCTGGCCAGCTAGCTAACTGTTGGTCAGCTGCTGATTTCTCACATCAATGTTGTGTTCATAACATTGAGTAGCTATGCTTGCTTGGGTAACACTGGAGAAGGATACAGCGATGTAATGACTTGGCCCTGCTGTGGCTCTAAAGCCCATGGCAAGACAAAGTGGTTGTTAGAAGGTTTGCAAATTGAACAAACTCTGAACAGCACCAGCCCAGAACTAGCACTGTGTTTGGTGGAAATGGGGTATTAAAGGACCCCTAAAACCCCCTAAAGTACTGAGGAACCTCCTCAATGACCACTTGAACCTCTTCAAAGATTCCTTGAACTTCCTCATTTACAAAAAGGTTCCCAAGAACCTTCTAAAGGACCTCAAGAATTTCCTTAATTACTAGGACTTCAACCTTAAACCTTCTAAACAACCCCCAAAAGGGTGATCTTTAGATCCTCAGAATAATGTATTCACATGTGAGTGAAATGAAAGTAAAACCCAACACTAAGCGTGTTAAACCTTGACCCTGGTTCTTCCTTTAATCTGTCACCTATCTGTATAAATGTGCTTCTCTAAAATGTTAAATATATGCCATCTACTTCTGTAATTAATGAGCTAAAGCACGATTAACCAAAGTATGGTTGGGGGTTTACCAGGTGGGGAAAACGCGTGATGCCATCGGTCTGGATGGTGAAGTGGTGAACCGACGGCGGACCATTAGCGGCCCTGTCACTGAGCTGGTGGCAGCTGCCAGGCGTGACCAGCCGACTCCCTCTGCTTTCCCGCCTCCCTCCGTCCAACCTGAAGCATCCCCTGTCCCTGTAAATTCCTCCCCACCCCACCCTCCATCCTCCCCCCACCCCAGCTCGGGAGGCAGCGGCAGTTCATCGGAGAACCTGCCGTTCGCAGAGGAGGGAAGCCTGACCATCCGCCGCCAGGGTCGAGGAGAAGGAGAAGGACAGGTAGCTATCTATATATATGTTTGTCTATCGACCTATCTATGTAACGTAATGTGCTAAAATTAAGTGTGCTGTATTATAAATCCATAGTAAAGCTTGTGTGTTCTGTAAGCTTTATTTGTGTTATCCATTTATCTTTGTCAATGTTTTTGACTGTTTGTGCAAAAATAACCTCTTGTCATGAATGTATGAATTTCCCGTTAGTGTGTATTTTGTGTCTGTCTGCAGGGTGACAGCGAGGGTCCCCAGGGAGACGGGGGTTACACGCCAGAGGACATCTCCATGGTTGAGGCCACAGCGACCTTAAAGCGGCGGCCCCGCAGCTCCAAGCCCCACCCCAACGGTTCCGACTTCACCCTCCAAGAGTCGTCCACCGTCAAACGACGGCCCAAGAGCCGTGACAAAGAGCCTGAAGGCTTCGCAGACCTAGCCGCGGCTAATGGAGAGCCTGTGGAGAGTGGGCAGCCGAACACCATGCAGCCCGTACCCTACCAGAATGGCACGGCCACCGTGAAACGCCGCCCAGTGTCTGATATTGGAGTGACAGAGCAGCCACAACCACAACCTCAACCTCAACCTCAACTTCAGCTTCAACCCCAACCTCAACCTCAACCCCAACCCCAACCCCAACCTCAACCTCAACTTCAACCTCAACCGCAAGTGACTGCTGCTCTTCGCAGGGACAGTGTGGACCAAGGAGCTCCAGTGGGCAATGAAGGAGGTCCTGTGAGAAAACCAAAGCCTCCAGTCTCCCCGAAGCCTGTCGTGGCACAGATAAAAAGACAGGGAGGCCCACAGACACCTCCACACCCTGCCTCCAACAAAAGAGTCCCCCTGCCTGGCCCTGGGACCCCTGGAAGCCCAGGTACTCACAGTGTATGATTGTGTTTGTCAAGTGGAAGTCATAATTAGAAATTTGCAGGCACTTTATAGTGAAGTCAACATCTTGTCTTTATGAGTGGCCAAAATGGAAGGTGGGGCAGAAAGCTTTCCGTCATAAAGAGGGATGAGACACAATGGCTTAGTTACACAGACCTCTCAGTTCTGACCCCAGAAAAGTTGGGGTGAAGGGGTTTTAGATGCTGTTTGACAAGCACTTTGTTTGAAGTGTCCTCAGCCTATAAGCAATGTTTTTGATGAGAAGAGTAAGAGAACTATTTACAGAACAAGTTGGAAAGGTGTTGGGGGAGGCCGATGAGCATTGTGTTGAAAAAATAGACACCTTCAAACTACACTGGCCCGTAAGTGTCAATATGCTAGAAACAAAATGATTAGTACCATGTGTTGTTTGACCACATTTGAAGACTTACATTAGGTGTTTATAGCTGTTCTGAACAGCCACACTGAAGGGCAGGGTGAAAAGACACGGTAATCATCCAAATGGGGATAACGGTGCAAACTGTCCTCAAAGGAATGAACTCGGTTGTACACAACTTCACAAAGGTGTGGGGGACGTTGTTGGACCATCTGAATAGCTACGGCTAATTAGACCCGGGACAATCTGTCAAAGAGGTAATATATCAGGATGTAGACGCCCCATCAGTAAACCAGCCTTGTACTGTTTTCTCTCTCTGTTTCTGTAGTGGAAGGAAAGAAGATCCCTCCGCCTGTCTCGCCCAAACCGACGCCACCGCCTACGGCGCCCAAACCGGCCAAACTCATCCACTCCATGACCAGCCCCCCATCCCCAACCCAGGCTCCTGCCCAAGTCAAGCAGCACGCTGCTGTGGTCCGACAGACCAGCTCGCCCCCTTCCTTCCCCCCTTCCAACATCCCCAGCCCACCCAACGCCAAGCCGCTGAGCCCGTCCTCTCAGAGCCCCCACACCCCACAGACCCCCACTACACCGCAGACGCCCCAGACTCCTGCTACTCCCAGCCCGACACCGCCACCAGTCAAACCCCCTCGCTCCTCCATTGGGGGTGTGTCGGTGGATAGCGGGATGACAGGAGGCGGGGTCACAGTGCCGGCCGTTACAACAAATGATTTTGGTGTGGATTCTTTGGTGCATCAGAAGCTGGAGGAGACAAGTGCATCGTTGGCAGCCGCTCTGCAGGCTGTGGAGGATAAGATACTGCGGCAGGAGGAGTAAGGAGCACGCACACACACACACACACACACACACACATACTTACTCCCATGCTCACACTTACACTCAAAGGCTTCTCTTCCATGGATTTGAGCTCATGGGAGCAGCCAATAATGTTGCGATCACAGGTCTGGATGTGTTATAGAACAGCCCACTTCCTCTGGTCAGCTTTGACAGACAATTGGTCGACATCTTTTCAATGTAATCTATGTAAAGACTCTGAGTCTGTATCATACTATATTGAGAAAAATATCAAACATCTCTACTGGTCAGCATGCTAACATGCTCACAATGATAATGCCAACATTTTAGCGTATAACGTTTGCCATGTTTAGTGTGTTAGCATGCTAACATTTGCCACTTAGCTTTAAACACACAGTACAGCTGAGGCTGATGGGAATGTCACCAGTTTTGATTTGGTCATGAACCAAAGTATTTACAGTATAGTTTGAACCACTGACATCTCTAAAGATGACATGACAGCTCCCCAAAGGTAAAGCTTTGCACATATAACTGGTGGTCTTTCAGGTCTTGTCTACATGTCTTCCAATTCTTATGTACTTCTGTGTGTGTGTGTGTGTGTGTGTGTGTGTGTGCGTGTGTGTGTGCGTATGTGTGTGTGATTTAGCTCTGTGGCTGAGCAGAAGACCACAGTTAGCATCCTCGACGACATCGGCAGCATGTTCGACGACCTGGCCGACCAGCTGGACGCCATGTTGGAGTAACCGTAGAAACCAGTCAGCGTGTCTCCACGGCAACGCTGCATCAGAAGTGACTCAGATGGCACAATGGGCAATATGCCTCTCTCTATCTCTCCGTCCTCCTCTTCATCCTTCTTTCTCTGCCGCATTCATCCTCTTCTCACTCTTCCTGTCGACCATCCGCCACTGCTCCAGAAAACTTTTTTTCTCCTCCTCTTCCTCTCATGTCAGCGCCACCGGCCTGGACAGCCATGTGGCCGAGGGAGGATGAAGAACGGATAAAGAGAGAAACACTAAAAGGCAGAGGGTTAAAAAAAGGACCAAGAACGACTGATGAGGAGAGAAAATAATAAAAAAAATCACAAGATGGAGAGATGAAGAAATGCAACAAAATGGAGGAGGACTGCAATCAAAACATGGGTCTTTTCAGAACTCCACATGGACTCTTGAAGCTATCATGGCGAACAAATAAACTAACCTAATACTGATTGAAAAACCAACTGTGTAATGAATCATAGTATGGTATGTGTACATTCTAAGCATGGAGAGTTTATATCTACTGAAAGTCCTGCATTAGCACAGTAATATATAATATACCGATAAATATGAATCTCTAGCTCTTTGGTTTGATGTCTTGGTTCTGTGTGGAATGGTGACCTCTGGTGTTGTGACGATGTAAATGACTTGGTGGAAAGATTTTTATCCGTGACCAAAACGAGACTATTTAGCTCCTGAGGTGTGTGTGCGCGAGTGTGAGATAGGGACAGTGTGACAAATGTGTATACGTGAGCTTGCGGATTGTCGGAATTCCGGGATCAATTCATTTTCCCAGCACTGGCTGCATCCATACACTCTGCTGCATCGTCATAATCGCACACACACACACACACACACTTGGGAGAAGCACAATGACCCACGCAGCCAGCTTGCACACACACACATGGGAGCCTGCACAAGATAAATTCAGATGAGGGGAGGGGAGGGAGGGGAGGGAGGGGGAAAGCTGCACTAAGGCTACAGCAAGTTGTCTGAAAGCAGATGTTAGGTGTTGGGGATTGGAAAGTTTGGGAGGAGGATTTTAGGATGTGTTTAAAGGGGTTTGGAGTGCAAGGTTTAAGCAAGGTGAGGTAGAGGTAATAGAGTTGACAAGAAAACACATGGGTGTAGCAACAAACTTCAGGTTTCTAACACTCACTCAGAAAACTGAAAAACTCGCAGATCAATTGTGACAAACATAAAAAAACTTTCATGAGCATGAATTCATCTTCAAACACTTTTAAAGCTGCAGTAGGTAACTTTTATAAAAATCATTTTTCTCATTTTTGCTGAAACTTTCACTATATCCTGACAGTAGAACATGAGACAGATAAAAATCAGGTTCCTCTATCCATCTGCTCTTAATGGTATTTGCAAGAATCCACCAGTCCTGAAAGAAAACAACAATTGACTCTCATTCCCAGTGCGTCAAATACAGACTCTAGGAATGAGACTCAACAATCAACTATCTTTCTTGGCTCTGATTGGTTGTTTTCATTCAGGCCCGGTGGATTCTTGCAAATGTCATTAGGAGCACTAGGAGGATCCAGAGGAACCTAAAAAGTTACCCGCTGCAGCTTTAATTGAACTTTTAAGGTACATACATTTTTCCTTTTAAGATGAGTACATTTCTCAGAACCCTGTGTGGGAGCCCATCTTTTTTTTCCCCATTACAACTCAAACCCTTCCTGACAACCTCAGTGGACAACCGTCTTCTCTGCATCTCTGTCTCTTTTGTCCCACACTATCCCAACCACCCACCACGTGTTGCCATGACAATCTACATCATCACCCTCACCTTCCTCATTGACGACACCACGGTTACTACACAGTGTGTTGCCATGCGTTCATGGGTTTAAAAAAAAAAAGATGGAGTGAGGGCAGCAGAGATCTGTGAAGCTGGATGGCCTGTTTCAGTGCGACGTTTAAAGGGGCACTCCAGGGATTTAGTTTCCAAAAGCACTGGATCCTATACTTCCCATAACGCAACTTAATAATGTCTCTCATTAGACTGTTTCTGCCATGTCTTTCAAACTCCTTGACCTTTCAGTTTCATTTATACTCTCCAAGCACTCACTGGAATAACCCTGATGATGTCATAGTGATGTCATCAGGGTTATTTTTTCAGGTTCAAGCCAATCTTTATGTGTGAAACTGGCGGCGTGTCCCTTTAAGTTCCAACCAGAAACTGCGTCCAGCGAGGTGTAACACTCTGTTATCGCATCTGCACCTCGGCCAATTAAGAGTTTCACAGTCCTTAAGCAGCCACACTCCACATATAAATGACTACGAATTCAGAGAATAGTTGTGGTATTTAAATTATGATCACATAGAGATTATATATATGGATATTTGCAAAAAAAAAGAAGTGTATTTATGATGTGTGTGTCATCCTGAAGACTATTTTTCAGTAAACAGATCTAATCTGAGTGTTGAATCAGTTTGCTTCTCCATGCTTAACTGGTCCGAGCTGATGAACCATTGTAGGATATCATGTTGGGATATTTCCAGGAAGCGTTTGTTTTTGTTTTTTTTTGTGTACATGTGTCCAGGTGTGGCGATGTGTATAATACAAGCAATTCTCGTTGTTCCGTTTTTATTATTTCTGTATTATTTTAAATGCAATGTTTTTTTCTTTGAAACATGTGCCTTGCTTTGTGATTTTTGGTCTGACTACAATACAGTAGATGGGTATGTACAATATATGGGGATCTCTCTCTTATTCTGTTTTGCTCTGTTATATCGGATATTACCCCCCCGTCACCAATGAGATGTGATATTTGAAACCTAAAGTCATCAGATCTCAACCAAACCCAGGTAACCACGTGACATCCTGCTGTTCTGTTATTCACTATCAGTCTTAATTTGGTCTTTTAAAACGGACTCTTCTCCAGCTGCCTGACAATTAGAAAAGAACTTATTCCAACGTCTCCACAGTTAGCTGCCTAGCATTCACATGCTATTCTGTAGGAACATTAAAGGTCGTAATAGTGCAACATTTTGGGAAATATACTTCTACCACTCTCATGTCTGTAGAGGAAATATGCACCTACAGCCAAGCAGCGTGTTAGCTTAGCTTAGCATAAAGACCGGAAACAGGGCGGGAAGTTGCTATCTCACAAATTCAGCTACATCCCGTATAATTCGTACAAAAAAGTGTAAAAACGTTTTGTGTTTGTTTTATTACCTTCAGATAGGGCCAGCAAAACACAACGATAAAAAAAATGCTATTGCGATAATTTATGCATCGCAATTTTTATGATTGATATCATAATAATGTGATGTGTGTTGGGGTCTGTACCAAACAAGCATGTTTTCTTACATCTGGAAAACATTTGTAGTCCAAAGCACCTCTGATGGACTACAATACTTAATTATAATGCTGTTTTGACTTACATATTACCTTTATCCAACAAACTGTAGCACACATTGTGATTTCAATAATATTTTAAATAATTGTGCTACTGCTAGCAGTAGCTTCAAATATAGCACACGTGAATTACTGCAAGAAAGAGAATAAGCAGATTTCCCAAAATGTAGCTATACTAAAAACACGCCAACACTAATCAGTAAAATGTCAGTAATGATGGCAGGAAGAGCTGTTTGATAAATGTAAGTCCGTATTTTACTTTTCTCCTTAGGTCAGATTTCATCATTGTTTTTAAAAAACAGATTTGTAGCTCCGTCATGTCAGAGCCACATTAAGCCTCTCCTTCATTGGGTCTCATTTTGGTCATCTCTCATGTTGTAGGCATTAACTTCGAGGTGTGTTTGGGAGTGTGGGGAAAGGGGTGAAATACTGCAGACGTTGAAAAAAAAAAACACAGATGGTCAAATATAGCGAAAAGTACTGTTCATTTTCTTTCTCAACTAAAGAATAAGCCAAGCTGTTTTTATTTGATTTCCCGCCTGTGCTTATCTGATCGGATACTGGACTGGTGTCTCCTCTGCTCTGCAGTGACTGTATGTGAATGCTTGAGAGAGGCCGTGTGTGTGTTATGTGTTGCTCTGCTATTGACTGTATGAAACTGTATGAGTGTGTGAATGTGTGTGTGTGTTGTAGTGACTGGACAGTTGTGTGCTTGCAGTGACTGCATCTTATGGCCATCTGCTCTGAATAAATAAATGTTCTCTACAAACTGCACCGTCCCCAGCCTCCCTTTGTGATGTGTACTTTGTATTTTCCAGGTCCTCCTCCAGGGGGCAGCATGTGACTGCAATATGCAATACTGTTCAATGCAGTTTTTATGAGGCCTCTTCACAGCCCTGTTACTCTCACACAGCTGTTTCCACTTAAAGCTGCAGTAGGGAACGTTCAGAAAAAATAACTTTTTGTCATATTTGCTGAAACTTTCACTATATCCTGACAGTAGAACATGAGACAGATCATTTTGCAAGAATCCACGAGGCCTCAACAAAAACAACCAATCAGAGCAAAGAAAGGCAGAAAGACGCATTGGGTTGGAAGCTTGACGAGAGATTAAAGATAGGTGGATTCTTGTAAATCCCATTAGGAGCACCAGGAGGAGCCAGAGGAACCTGATTGTTTCACAGATTATCTGTCTCATGTTCTACTGTCAGGATATAGTGAAAGTTTCAGCAAATATGACAAAAAGTACATTTTTCTAAAGGTTAGCTACTGTAACAACTCAAAAGGTTAAAAACAACAACTTTATGTTGAATTTCCATATGCTATTTAGCATCAGCGCAGACAGCAGCAAGTTTCATTCATTGTTGAAATAAATCAGATCCACATTTGTCAAAGTGTACAACAGTTTTATTGATCAATGATCAACTCAGGCTTACATGATTACAAGTATACAAGAAATCACCAAAACTGTGACCGGTGAAGACACTCTCTCTTCTCCCCACTACCTTTGTCACCAGTAAGTGGTGTGTTCAGATCTGCATTGAAAGGAAGGCAAAATACTAAACTGTGAAAACCTCATTCAGCCTGCGTGTCTAAATTCGGTGTGGATTTACGTCTTATTACAACTCCCCTCCCAGGCATTTTGTCTTTTTTAAGCTTTTCAACCCAATATGGGTCCTGAAAACATACAGTAATTTAGGAAAGCAGGACTTTGCAATGGCACTTACTCTGCATTTACATCTGGGGGTTTTGAGGTTAATTACACAATCAACTGCTCGCCTTCGTTGCGAGTCCGCCAAGAGTTACAGTTATAAAACAACAATCAGTATTCCTCTGTAGTTTTGTTCATTCTAACCAGTTGGTGTTAGAGGGGTGGAGGGAGAGACAGGAAGAGGGGACTCAGCATCCACGCATATGGCACTCATTGAAACACACACACACATATACACAATAACAGACACACACACAGACGGTGTTCCTCTCCCCCTATCCCCCTTTGCTATGTAGGCCAGTGTGAGTCATTGTGACGGGCACGCGTCCAGGCTCGGTGCTCTCTGTTATTTTACACAACTGTACAACCGTTGAGTGGCTCTGAATATCATGGCACTAATATAAAATTTAGTCAATCTACACATCTGTCGTTCTCTTTAAAGTCTTCACTTATTACAAGGTGGTTTATAAAGGCTGGTTTCACAGAGCTTAACTGGGTGGCAACAACACCCAACAAGCAGGGACGAAACAATGAGGAAAAATGCACTGTCCTTTCTTTGATCTTTTATGCTTCTCTTTCCTCTCATCTGTGTTTCTACAGTCGCTTTCACACCTGTAGTTTGGTTCATTTGGTCTAAACCAAAGGAAAAAAACGACACTGTCACATTTCAGTTGTGGTCTGGCTTGTGTTCACTCTGGCTGTCTATAAACCAGCCTAGAGCCGTCAATGTGAAGGTAAATGGACCGAGGAGTTACTCATTAGCTTTCCATTAAATGTATCGCAAAACTGAAATCTGTGTTAAAAAAAAGTGAGAAACGAAGCTGAAGCAGTGAAGAAATAATGCAGAAAAACAGGATGGAAACTTTTTCTTTAGTTTTGAAGGTTCTATCAGATCTGTGAGGTGTGATCAAGGATGTATTACAGAGTAGGGATAAACCAATTATTGGATGCAATATTCAGCATTTAGTTTTTCTGATACCAATTCCAATACTAGAACTTCAGGTCTGTAAAGTGAAGCCAACACAGAAGTGTCTTAAACCTGCATTCTTTCTAATGGCCAGAAGGGAGCAAGCATTGGCTGCAAAAGTCTTATAATATTGATTGTTATAAAGAAATGACTTTCAAGTTCTCGCTTGATTTATGAACTCAGTAAACAGTTTCCTGATGAGTTTCAGTCTTCTCTCATACAGCATGATGTTCATTTAGTAACTGATGGTCCCATTTAGAGTAAAATAGACAATAAACTGGCCTTTACTGTCACTGCTCTGAGCACTGCAGTAAACAGGAGTCACTTGTTGCCATCTGATGTGTGTCTTGTGATGTCTTCGAGACACACATCAGATGGCCACCAATTGAAGTATATGGAAAGAGAATATATCTGGTCTTCACATATATTTTAACATAAAACTGCTGCTACTTCATTTGCATAAAATAACCTATTTCTTTCCTTTGATCGGTGCATTATGGGATAACATGTACATTTGGAGCAAGAGTGGTGTCACTCCATATTTGTGAAACCAGCCCTTACACTTATTTCAACAGTATGCATTAGGCATCAGTACAGTTCATAATGGCAGGTGTGTCCGCAGGAAGCAGGCAGGACCGTCTTCCTGCTCTGACTACGGGGATGCAGCGTCCAGTCGCTCTCGGATTTGGTGCAGGTGCAGTGCGGTGCAACTGTAAGGCAGCTCATCTTGTTTTGCCCAGTAATGCACTGATGATGAGGTCACTGAGGAGTGTGACCCTCGACACTGACTGTCGGGTCCATGTGTCGGACTGTTTGTTTGGAGTTTTAAAAGCAACACTTAGTAAAATAGTTCCGATGCAGCTTGACTGTGAAGTGGCGGACATTATCGGTCTGTGGCCGGCAAATCACAATCAAAGAAACGGGTGCAGAGGAGGAAATCGTGTGGAAAGGTTACCGTTTGAGCGCCATGTGAAGTCGACTGGAGTCGAGCAGACTGTTTGCTTAGCATGTCCACACCTGAGAGCGAGACAGAGAGAGATTACTTTAGAACAGTGGCTCTCAAGACTTTTTACACAGTGTACCACCTCAGTAAATATTAGGCTCTCCAAGTAGCACCATTATGAATGGATAAAAACAGAATGAATGCTGGAAGTGAACCTGCAGGTACAGCTGTACAGCAGGTGGAGCACATGATGGAGAGAGGATGTGTGGTACCTTGACGGTGCTGTCCACAGCTCCAGAGAAGAGGCGCCCTCTGGAGACAGCTAGAGCTGTTACACTGCCCTGGTGTCTCAGCAGGGTCTGGGTACAGATCATGTTGTCCATGCTCCACACCTAGAGAACACATGTACAACAAACATTTCAACTACGCGAACCACTCTGTTTATCACTGCCACACGCCTTCATTTAAAACTGTTTATTACAACACACACACACACACACACACACACACATTTAATTCAAGTTTGTTTTTTTCCAATTCCAACACGTGTGTATGTAGGTGAGTAGTACACACACACAGACACACACTCACACACACACACACACACACAGTCCGTCCTCACCCTGAGTGAGCGGTCGTAGGAGGCGCTGAACACTTTGGTCTGGTCAGGGGTGGAGATGACAGCAAGAGCATAAACTGTTCCCACATGACCTGTCAGGGTCCGCACCTGCTCTTTAGACTCAATGTCCCACACCTAGAGAGAAGACACCTTCATCATCACCATTATCACCATTAATGCATTTAGCACTGCCTGTTATAGAGGGTAAGGGACACAAAAGCAAAAAAGAAAAAAACTCAGCTAAATAGAGCCAGAGACGACCTCATGCTTTCCGAGAGGGCGAGACACATTCTAGTTTTGCTCATGAGGCAGGAATGAAGAAAAGTAAACTGAAAATCAAAACCAAAACAGTGTACCCAGTCCTTTGTGTGTGTGTGTGTGTCTGTCTGTCTGTCTCCCTTACGTGGATGAGGTTTTCATAAGTGCCACAGACGATGTGGTGGTTGGTGACAGCGATGGAGTAGACGCTGCCCCCACTGGTCTGCAGGACATGAACACACTCCAGAGACCGGATGTCCCAAATCTGAGAGAGAGAGAGAGAGAGAGAGAGAGAGAGAGAGAGAGAGAGAGAGTCAGGGGGTGGTTAAACCAGACTCTTTAAAAGAGGAGGAGTATGGTGAAGAGGACCTGACAGTGAGTATCTCAGGAGGGGTAGATAAACACACACACACACACACATACACACGAGTTAACAGCAGTGGAAAAAGTGAAAAGTTGCTCAACAGCTGCAAGTTGTCCCTTTTCATCTCAATGACAGCACACAGTGGAGCAACCGCTAGTTTAACCAGCTGGTCTAGCTGGCCAATCACACCGCAGCACTGAGAAGAAGCTATGAAATGCAGTTGAGGGACAGAGAGATGATACTCTTTCATATATTATCTCTCTCACACACAAAAGGCCAAGCTTCACATTCACCAGCATACATGATGAGCCTGTAGCTGCAGGCAACGAGCATCAGTGTAAAGGTTGCAGCTGAACTTGGATTAATCATAAACAAACACAACAATAACATAGTATCACCTAACATAAGGTTATGGTGAATATGTTAGCAAACAGTTGCTTATTTTACACATCCAACAGAGCAACATTAGCATTCAACTTTAGCTGCTAAATGCTACACTATGTTCATTGGCTATTTGGTAACTTGGTCTGTGCTCGGTAAGTAGAGCAGTCTGCCTTTTTCACAAACCAGCAGCCTCCAGTGGCCCACACAAAAAACAAGTAAACTTGCAGGCCAGAAAACCAAAACAATGAGCTGAAAGATGCTAAAATGCTATGTATAGCTGAGGGTAAGCACAGAGTAGTGTAATAATTATCTGTGGGTTCATCACTACAAGCAACACCTTTCACAATACACATTCATTTGATCCTTTGTGAATCTAAAAATATTGATTATAGCAGCTTTTTAGCATTATAGCATTGGCTGCAGAGGGAGGACAGTTTGGTAGAGAGTTGGTTTTTTGCTGGGTTTGGCTCCTGGCAGTCCAGCCTAGCTAACTGTATCTAACGTTACTGTTGGCAGCAGTTTGCCTATTTTAGCAGCAAGTCCATCTGGAAACTCCATAAATCACCAAGGACAGAGCAATGAACAATTCAACTGCTGCACACAAACAATGCTGTAAGCATAATACACTTAAGGTAAAACATTTTATTTCTTTTTTCTTTTTAAACTGATCTCTAGAGCAGGATCCCACCGGCATCATTGAAATAAATGAGGAGAATGAATTTTTGGTGCAGTAAAATGTTTGGTGTGAACGTGGCATTACATACCACAAAAATAGTAACATCTTGGTTTCATATCTAGTCTTTGAGTTTGTCACAAAGCATCTTCCATTGTCTGCTCCATCCTTCCTGTCTCTCTCATTATTATACTATCCAATAAAGGCTAAAATACCAACAGATAATCCTTGGCAGTCTGATTAAATACAAGGGCATCTATTAAATAGTGCCTACAGTACTACAGTGCAACTGGTAGCAAGCAAGCTAATGAGACCAACTTCTCAAACATTAGAAATACACACTAAAACAAGTTCCTTTATTTCATTTTTTAAAAACAAATCAAAAGGAGTTTTATGTTTAAGCTCTTCTATGAAGTTTGTAGTTTCTCTTTCAAAGTTCTTTAATTGCCAAATGGTTTAAAGGGATGTTTTTCACTGAATATTGGCAACATTTGTCATGGCAATTTCTGCAGCAAAAACATTTTCTAAACGACTTCTGTGGCTAAGTACTGGCTAGAGACTAACCGCTCTGCTTACAAGCACCATAAAGAGGAGCACAGTCTACTTTATCTCTACTTTCATCTGTCTTTTCCCATTCTTCCACAGACGTCCCTCGTCCCCAAAACCAGTCTCTCTCTTTTCATCTCTCTACAGCGTCCCCGAGACACGCACGCACGCACGCACGCACAGGGAATGAAGATGACCACAATATATCCAAACAGCTTTCACTACACAGTACATGTCCTGCCTTGTTTAAAAAAAAAACCATAAAAGGTTAAACTCCAACTAATTACCACCCAGCTTTTGTTCAGGAGCGACATAAACAGGGTCAGGTTGATGCACAAATTAGCTGATAACAACATGAAGGCCTTGACCTAGCTTTACACAGTAACACATGCTCACACACACAGCAAGGAATGTATTTAAATGTATTTATCAACCAAGAGGACATGTCAAAGAAGTGTTCTGTGTGCTGATCATTCCCATAAACCATGTGGACCTGTATTTTTAGTCGCTTGGGCAGCTTTGCATAACCATGGGAGCGGTATGAACATTTTTCTTCCATCCTCCAGCTTTTTTATTTTAATGCTCCGACTCCAAAATTAACAACATCCACAGTCCAAATCCCACTCAAATCTGTCACTGGCAGATAAATCCGTAGTACCTGCCAAACAACACTTTCCAATCTTCCTTCTGTTGCACCTCACGACATAACAAAAACTTTACTAACTGCATCTGAGTAGAGAGACTAACATGGTTACAGCCACAGTTATTTTGTCTTGTAAAAATTATTCATCGTCTGTCATTCTTTCCACTTTAGCACGACACGTACGCAGTTTACAGTGATGGCGGTGGCAAATTAAACACTGACACTCGTATGAATGACTAACGCAGTGAAATGACAACCGTTACTAGCAGATTTCATCAGCTAAACCCAACATTAAAAGTCAGAGCTGGCTGAAGGTGTTGTCTCTAATTGACTTTTTTAATGTTTACAGCGCACTTGTTTGAAAAAGAGAAGACAGTCAAAGTGTCTTAAATATGCACTTGATAGCTACATACATGATAGTGTGCTGAAAGACTAAAGCTAGATGTAGCTTTAGGCAAAAGGGCTTCTCTCTCAAGCTTGGCACAAAAAGATCGCTCCAAGAAAGGCTCCCTCAGGTTTTTCCTAATCATCCAGCCAATAGAAATCATCAGAAATGGAGGACATTCTCAGTTTCACCTAAATCACACAACAAACAAACTCTGTCCTCCTCTAGAGTGGCATTAAACCTACCAGTCTCAAGGGCTAATGGTAATGTCCCTGAACACATCATTGTCTTTTATTTAAGTTATACTTCACACAAGACAGTCCATGGAAATAAATACATTTTATTACAGCCAATGGAGCTGCCCCTGCTGGCCATTACATAGGATGAGGGTTTATAGACACTTCACATCAGCTTCAAGTCACAGACCTGAAAGCTCTGTTCATTATAATATACTGTCAGTGGATTGAAGTTTACCTAGCAAAGAAAAACACAGATGAGTCCATTCCTTACACCTTTTCTCTTGTTAAAGGTTTGAAAAAACATGCACCACCCCACAAGCTCTTTAGATATGCAGTTATCACTATTACTACAACCCCATGCACACAGCTGAAATCCAAAGTTTGACAGACCTGCTGTGCCTAGTTATGGTCGCTATGCCATGACTGGACAATCAAAATGAAATCAAAATGAAATCAAAATGAAATAGATGTGTGAGTAAGTATACTACCAATATCTCCCTACATCTGCACCTACCTTGATGGTCTGATAGGAGCCACTATAAAGGTGGTTCTGGGAGGCCACCAGTGCTCTAACCCAGTGATTCAGCCCGGTCAGCTCCTTCTTCAGCTTTAGCTCCGTACCAACGATGTCCCACACCTCACACACACACACACACACACACACACACACACAGTTAATGAAAACTGAACTAGGGGGAAAACACTTTACTGACTTCAAACTAAACAAGAGAATAAAACAGATGAAAAAACAAATTCACAAAACATTTCTATTACAAAAGATTTTCTGTAAAACTTATTGTGCTACTGTTGAGTAATAATGTGCTTTCATTGAGAGACACACACACAGTACATTGAGCCGACCTGTGGGCAAATACAATGTGGTGAAAACAGTAAAGTACATGATGTCATTGAGCTGAAATAAAGAGAAGCTGGGTAACGGGAGGAGGAGGCAGAGTTGAGTTGGGCCAGAAAGGAAAGTCCCTGTGTAAGAGGAATGACATCACACACACACACACACACACACACACACACACACACACACACACACACACACACACACACACACACACACACACACACACACACACACACACACACACACACACACACACACACAGACACACACACACACTTTCCCTTCTTTCACTCGCTCACTTGTAGCCATGGTAACAAAGACAAGGCTACAGCCACCACTCGTTACTGTCTGCCTTTGCTTCTCTCCCCACTGAGACACATTTTACACTCCTCTTTATTGGAGATCTCAGCAGTGAAGTCGGGCCAAGCAGCAGCAATTATCGAACCACTTCTAAAGGAATCAAATGTAATATCTTCAGCAATTAGAGACCAATCTCTAACCTTCCGCATATCATTACTACTTCAAAAAGCTATAGCCAATCAGCTAGCCATAACTAATATTTTGGATGCCTTCTAAAACTGGTTTCATTTACATTGCTATGCTGATGATGTGCAGTTACACAAATGAATCAGTTTCCATTAGATGATTGTTGCATCGTGTGTTCTTCTGCCTCAGGTTACTCATCAGTACCAAGAATTCATGAAAAAAACACCATGTTGGTTTCCATGCCATTGCTTTCAATGTTTTATCAATACGTATTTGTATTTATTGAGTCTCTTTTAATGATCTATCTATCTTCTGTTGTTTTCATTGCTGTAATGTGTGTTGAGGCACTTTTTATAAACCTTGACTTGATTTAAGTGGAAAATAAACTGATGTCTGCGGAGAAAGGATGAAATGACACGTACACGTGATGATACATGATGTACACAGCCGTACCTTAATGGCCTTTAGGGAGCCGCTGAACAACATGTTGTGTGAGGAGACCAGTGTGCATACAGGGTTGTCATGGGCACGGATAGTATTGACTTTCTGCAGGGTCTGGATGTCCCACACCTACACAAAACGCACAGCGGCAAGACACAACAGGAAAAAAATAACACAACCTTTATAGCATATGCTAACAATTCAAACTGTGCAGGTTTACAAGAGGAAGCAGGGAGTAGAATTACTCACGATGATGGTGCAGTCTGCAGAGCCACTGTATAGCTTGTTTCTATGGAGACAAAAAGATATCACAGGGTCAAGGAAGTTCAGGTCAGTCCCAAGTTGTCATCCATCCTATGCTCACAGTGTGTGTTGTTTATATGCATGTGTGCATTTTATTACCCCTGGATACACAGTGCCAGTACGATGCCATCATGACCCTCTAGGGTTTTCTGACACTTGTAGGTTGTGCAGGTGTCCCATACCTGAGGGGATGACAGGAGATGGATTAACATAGTGCTAAAAGGCAAGCATCTTTATGCCTCAAACTGTATTTTTCTTTTTCAGGTTATGTCTTCTAAAGGTGACTTTTAACACTTGAGTACATGTATTAGCATTAAAATAGATCTATGATAATGCCAGATTTCCGATAGAAAACAATGTTGTGGGCGAGGAGTTATCAGAATCTCTCAGGCAGTAGGTGGGCGAAGGCCATTTTCAGGGCAAAAATAGAACTACATCATAAAAAATAAAATAAATTAAAAAGGACCTTAAGGGGTGACGTTGGTGCTGGTGTCCGGAAAGTCCAGTTTGAGTAATACATTAATTACTCTGAAGGCCCTCCGCTGCTTCAACATTGGGTGGGTTTTTTCACACAGTGTTAATGGATTCAATTTGTTTTGTGTGTATGTTGATGTTACCTTGATGGTCTTATCTGAAGAGCCAGAGAAGAGCAGGTCCCCGGTGGAATAGACGCACAGACACCAAACGGGACCCTGGTGGCCAACAAATGTCCCCTTGCACTTGAAGATCTGCTGGGGGTCATATGCTGCACACAGGCACAGAAACAGGTAAGTATGTACTAAACAAGAGAGGAATTAACTGAAGGATGGATTAAAAAGGGCCAGAGTGGTAGATGAGGAGAGGAGGAAGAAAGAAATCAGAGTTTGGTAAAAGAAGGTGGGTGGGAAGAAGGCAGGGAGAGCTGGATTTTGCATTTCAAATCAATAGAGCTTTCATGATTAAATCTTTCAAAACTTGACATGTTCCAAGTCTCAACGAGGGTTTATCATTTTTTTCCTGCACTGAGATGAAGAGAAAAAGGTTTTTAAAAAGGAGGAATGACAGATACTTACAGCCCAGGATCCCCATGTTGAGCCTGGCGTTGATGTGGGACAACTCATCCTGCAGATACCCAGACAATAGATTGGAGGATTTGTTCTACACTAACACACTTACTGTGGCTACCTGATTCAAACTTTTACTCTCAGACACAGATGAACACATACGCTCTTTGCAGGTGCACACACACTTACATTAAGCATGGAGGCGTCTCTGCGAAATTCCATCAGGTCCTCACTCAGCTTACTCTGGTTCTCATCCAACACATCTGAAATGCATACACAGGCATGATAACTTTAAGAAAACAGTCAGGGCAGTGTGCTAAAGGACTATGGCTCATTAGGGTCATAAAACTTCCTCCAGTCAATATGTCCTGTTAATATTTATCTATCAGCTGCCATGCGGTCTTAAAAATCGTGTTTTAAATGTGGTGCAGTGCAGGGGTGAGACGTGATCTGCTTTTTCAGCTTTTTCTGCCCCAATAATGATCCCCATACTCAGACTCAGGTACAGAGTAATCAGATCCCGAGTACTGAGCCGTTTTTTTTCTATTATCCTCTCTGTGTTGAACTGATTAAGATATGTGTAAGTTAACATAAGGCTGTAGTGGAGACATTCATACACTTAGGCTTGTAAAAATGGAAAATTATATTTAAGGTTTATGGAATTGCAACATCACAATGCATCAAACTACTTAAGGACAAGGACACCATCATGTTCTTGTCTAATACACATAAAATACATGGTTCATGCTTCAGGCTACAGACTAAGCTGCTGTGATAAACAATAATCTCGCTGTCCTCTGTGTCCATGCAGAAAAAGCATCCCTCATCTTAATTACATGCTTCTACATATCTTTACCTAATGGCTCAGTCATTTTCCCAGATAAAAACCTACGTGCTAAACAACGCACTTCCTTCAGTGAGCAATTTTGAATCCAGTTGCTAAAGTTTGTTGCAATGTCACTAAGCTGTTCATAATAAAATGTATTCCGTCCATGCAAAGATTCAAAATGACCTAATAAAAAAGTGAAGAAAACGTTTTTAACAAATAATTTTCCAGGAGTTTTTCTGGACAATACAGGACAGCACTTGCTTACAAATGGTCATATAAGCAATTTGACTAAGTTCATTTGGCCACAGCCCATCAGTAACAGTTCAAATCAAGTAGAATCTATTTTATTTGAACTTTTAGAAAGTTCAAGTGTTCATTGCACGAACAATTAACATCACTGTGCATGTATTTATCAACCACAGCAACAAAACATTTGATGCTATTTGCATGCAGATGTGAGAATTTAGCTTACACTTCTGGAAAAAATAGACTCTATGCTGAAAAGATCACTGCAAGCCAGTTCTACTTTGCATCTGGTAAACCTGTCTGAAGTGTCATACAGCTCATCCTCTCGTAGAGAAGTTTACGTAGATTATCTGAGTGGGGGGCTAAAATACAATAATTTCTAGGACAACACAGATTATTTCCAGGATATTTGCTCATTTGAATAATTTTCCAGGTGTTTCAATGACTGGAAACTAGTCTCTCAATTTCCAGTTTTTCAAGGTTTTCCAGGACGTCTGGGAACCCTGAAACTTAACCACTTTAACTGCTAAAATCACTGTCAGCACTTCTGCGTTCACAGCAAAGGCCTGCCACTGTCCTCACATTGTGAAACACATGCAGGAAGTGTCAGCACTAACTTCACTCACAGCTGCAAATAACTGCATGGTTTCCTATTTTCTTACCTCGTATCTCTTCTCATGCTGGTATAAAGTGCACAGACAGGTCAGTCAACTTCAGCTGAAATGAGCTATGCGAGTCCATATGACTTTCATTTATAAATCCTGCTTTGTTTGATAATTGGTCCATGTGAACCCAAGAAACAACATAAATATAGGTTGCAGGGATCACAGCACCTGTACCTTGACATCACCAACTCCAGCAGCCCGTTTGTTGGAGCTGAACAACTTCCTCATCTGAGTGTGTAAACAAATAACTCCCCTAAATGTTACAAATAAGAATGTACTGCTTTGCCCAAATAAGCAGGTAAAAACTGTAGAACTTCTTTCTCTCCTATATCTTACCAAATTTGAGCTCCAGGTTCTTCTCGAGCTGATCTAACTTTTCTGATAGTTTGCCCAACATGGAGCGCAGGAAAGCAATGTCTTGGTCCTTCTGGGCCAGAGTCAGCTGCATCTCATGGAACCTAAACAGGGTCAAACATAGTCAAACAGGAGATTACATACAGATAGACCAGAGATGGAGACAATCTATATCATATTTAAGAGGAGTTTATTAAAAGACAGAAACCAATCAATGTAAGAAATATTTGCATATTTGAACGTTTCAGCTCTGGAAAAGTCTGGAATTTTTGTTACTCCACGTAGTTTGAGTATGTCGGCTTACCTGTCATCAGTCTGCTGCAGAAACTCCTTCAAACCCTCAAATTTACACACTTCCAGGTGTGTTTCATATGTGTCCTGGTTACCAATGAACGTACAGCTGTCAGGGAGGAGAAGAGAGGCAGATTAGTGGAAGGTAGAGGAGTGTGTTGTATTGTAACACAAAGTGAAGTAGAAGGCTTGCACGGTATAGGAAACTGTATGTATGTGCGATTTTAGGACTCACCCATATTTGGAGTGTGGACATTTGATGTGCTCACATTCTTTGAGGTGAGCCTCCAGGTTCATGGTGAGCAGCGGGGGGCAGGAGGGGTTGTTGGGGCAGCGGACCGGCCTGTAGTCACAACTGGCCTCATGTTCTCTGCAGAGGCACAGTGAGTTAGGGTGAGCAGAGGAGAAGAGTAAGTCAGTTACAGCATTGCAATGTGTTGCTGCTTTACAGTATGTCATATTACACTCATAGGGAAACAATGGAAGTACCACATCCTATCACATCCCCCTCTGTGGTTCTTACTTGCGTGCGGACAATTTGATGGTGAACGGACAGCCCAGCGGGTCCACCTCATATGCTCCAGGTTTCCCGGCCACCGTGGAGTTGGAGGCAGCAGCCCCGCCTGCAGCGCTAGCTGTGGCCCTGCAGCCGTATTTACAGTGAATGAACAGCTCTCCAATCTGCTCGGCTACCGCAATGTTGTTCACGACAACCGTTAGCTTAGCCGCATCCACTGGGCACTTGTCTGTGAGGAGAACAAACATGAACATAAGGTTATAATACACTTTAAAAGCTGGCCTAGTCTTAATGCTAGCACATCTAAAAAGAACATGGTCATTATTATTGTTATTACTGGCACATATGTTTGACAAGTTAAAGGGTTTTAAACATTTTGAGTCTCACCTGAAGTCAAGGCACATCGTCTGCAGAAGGTGTGCTGAGGAAGGAGGAAAAACGGGCATAATGAAATGTAAAGAGTTCACGTCTTCTTATTATAATAATAATATGAGTTCCCAGGAAATTAGTCTTAACACATTGTAACCTCAGTTTTATTTCACCCTCATGTCAGACATGATTCACTTCCCCAAAAACTATTTAAAAACAAATGGCACAGATAACTGGCAGATTTTATCAGCTGTAGCTAGATATAAACACTTAAGCTAATGTTAGCTTCCTGAGCTGACTGAAAGTGCAGTCTCTGGCTGACTTAGTAATGCTTGAAACTGACTAATTTTGAAACAATAAGCCTGTAAAATGGTCTTAAATATTTTTTTGATGGTTACATACATGAGGTTAAGCTAAATGTCCCTACATGATAAATCCACGTAGAAGACATGGAAATAAAAAATGCATTTTCTAGTGCTACAGTCTAGAGCTAGTTAGTTAGTTGGGAAGGAAAAATGTAAAATCGGATTAATTTCACTCCAACTTCATTTATTCTGTTTAGGTTATATACTTGGAAAAGCAAGACAGAGGTTAGATTTTGGCTTTACTGTTCGTACTTTAAACTTTATATTTTGCTTCTAGCCTAAAACTCTTTTAGGCTTTAGTCTTTTAGGACTAACCGATGTGTTTGGTGAATGTTACGCTATCTCAGATTTGACTTTCCCAAATCTGTTAAAAAGTAGGACAGAGCTAACGTTAGCCTCACTCTGATAGCATCATCCAGGAGAAGCTAAAAACTACAGAGTGGATGAAAGGGTACTTTTAACAAGTTCAACCTGTAACCCAAACACAAATGCTGGGTTATTATTGTAGAAAGAAAGCTAGGTAGCCGAACAAGCTAGCAACTGTGGCTCAAGTCAGTCAAGTTTTGGAGAGGGTAACCACCTCATACACAGAGTATCACATTTTGTACAACTCTATGCACAGTACACACTGCTTTGGCACGTTGAGAAATACAAAGCTTGACAGACCTGCAGTGCCTAGTTTTGGCTGCAAAGCTATGATTGGAAAATGAATGTTCTAGGAAGGGGTTTAGCTAACGGTCAATTATAATTTGCTTGAAGTACATCATCAAACATCCTTTAAAGGAACATGTCCCATAAACTCACCCCACATGTGGTGATGACGGGGTCCTTGAACACGTTGCAGCACAGCTGGCAGCACAGTTTTACTGACGGCTGTTCAGCAAAAACCTGGGGCTCCTGCACACAAACACACAGTCATTTGTGGCACTGTTTCAGTTCCCAAACTAACTTGTCACTGTGATCTTTTTATGTCTGTGTTTGTGAGCATATGTCCGTGTTTCCATTGTACCGTGTCCTCCTCTTCTTCGTGCAGAGAGAAAGTGGAACGCAGAGACATGTTGGACTCGGAATGGAGAGATCGGACAGAGATGGCTGAATCTGACCTCCGAGGAGTACCAATGGGAGGCTGAGGGGATGAGAGAAAACAGTGGTGAGCAGAGGGCATATTCATGTATTGATAGTATATCCAGATGAGTGGGATCCATCATTGTAGTTTAGACAACTGACACTGGGGAGTGAAAAAAATGTCACATTTGCCCACTTTTTAACCCAAGGCTTCTCAAAAATGATGAATAGATTATTAGGCTGGGTTGAAAAAACAGCAATGTATAAGGCTGTGTGTGTGAGAGTGTACCATTCCATCATCGTCATCGCGAGGAGAGTAGGTTAGAGTGCTGGAGGAAGAGGGGGTTCTTCTGTGCTGCTTGTAGGTGCCTTCTGTGGAAAACACATTAGGGCACATTCACAAAAGAGTCAATGCCAGAACAATGGCACACTTTAGTGGCTATGAAGCAAAAAAGAGAAAAAGTAATGCAGGAAAAGAAAAAGCATTTATAGAGGGGAAGATTATTTGTGTGTCACCTTTAGGGACGAATGAGGCCTCCATCTTGCTCTGCAGAGGAGAAAGGAGTGTTGAATGGATAGACAGATAAGATTATTTAAACAAAAAGTGTAATTACAGCACAAATGCATCATACAACAGAAGTATAATCTTGATACTTAATTAAAATCTCTCTTGATGTCTAACTAGTGTCTCTCACCGTGCTGCTAGAGTCAGTGGGGGGGTGGTGGGGCTGCTGGGGATGACTGCTGTGGCGGCTGCTGCTGCTCCTCCGGAGTATCGGTTGTAGTGCGGCGTCTTACAGCTGCTCATAACCCAGAGCACACACAGATGCACGAGGAAACACTAGCAGCTAGCTGGACAG